GTGACGACGTCGAGCTACCTCGCGGGGCAGATCTACTTAGGTCTAGGGTAGCTATCTTTGACCTAGACTTTGATGCTATTCATTTTGCTATGTATGCTTTGTCTGTTAGTGCTGAGGGTGACTGTTACCGGTGTGTGCCGCCTCACCCAGGCATAGCTGTTGCTGCTCTAGGTGCTAGTGAGTCTGGTACTCTCCCTGGTACTGTGCCTGCTCAGGCCTTGCACACCTTCACGTTGGACTCAGGCGCCTCCCGCTGTTTCTTTCGTGACAGCACCACTCTCACTCCTCTCCCTGCACCTGTCCGGGTCAGACTGGCTGACCCCTTTTGGGGACTGGACGTTGCCCGTTCCTCCACTGTCCTCCCGTGTCCGGCGGTTCCGTCCGGCTCACTATGAGGTCTTCACCTTCCCTCGTTCTCTACGACCTTGGTGAGTACCGCTGCCCTCGAGGATGCGATGGTCACTACCGCCACTCCTGGGGGTCAGCGTGTGTCGATCTGCACGTGCACACGGACGGGGCGTCACCTGGCCACGTTCACTCGTCGGCCAGGGTCGAGTCTGTACACACTCGCTACTGAGCCTCCTCAGGTAGCTGCGTTTGCTCAGGTGTCCACGTCAGGTCAGGTAGCCGCCTCTTGCTCGTGTCGCCTCCTGTCGCCCCAGACTCTTCTGTGGCACCACCGCCTGGGTCACCCCTCCCTACCACGCCTTCGTGGCATGCACTCCCGCCTCCTTGTCTCTGGTCTACCCAGGTCTCTGCCTCCCCTCCCGCCCTTGCCTGCCCCGCCTTGCCTTCCTTGCGTCGAGGGGCGGCAGCTCGCCGCTCCTCACTCCTCCTCGTTTCCCCCGACGACTGCTCTCCTGCAGACTCTCCACATGGATGTGTGGGGCCCAGCCCTCGTCAGTGGACAGGGCCGCGAGCGCTACTTTCTGCTGGTATTTGACGACTACACGCGGTACACCACGGTCTTCCCCTTGCGCAGCAAGGGTGAGGTCATTGATATCTTGATCCCTTGGATCCGCACAGTGCGTCTCCAGCTCCGCGAGCGGTTCGGCCAGGACCTTCCTCTCCAGCGTCTGCACTCCGACCGAGGTGGTGAGTTCTCCTCCGACCTCTTGCGGGACTTTTGTCGTTCACGCTTCCGGACTCCCCTCAGCAAAATGGGATTGCTGAGCGCCGCATTGGCTTAGTCATGGAGGTCGCTCGTACCTCCATGATCCATGCGGCTGCTCCCCATTTTCTGTGGACGTTTGCGGTCCGGTACGCTGCGCATCAGCTCAACCTCTTGCCCCGTCTCTCCTTACCGGAGGCCTCGCCCACATTGCGTTGGACGGGGGAGGTTGGCGATGCGTCGGTGTTCTGGGTCTGCGGTTCTTGTGCCTTTGTTCGCGATACGGCCGTGGACAAGCTCTCCGCCCGTGCTATCCCCTGCGTCTTCCTTGGCTTTGTCCCTGACGCGCCTGGCTGGCAGTTTTACCACCCCACCTCGCGCCGTGTCCTCCCTTCTTAGGACGTCACGTTCAACGAGTCGGTTCCCTACTGCCGTCTCTTCCCCTACCGCTCTGAGCCTCGGGGTGCTGCTTCGGATGCTGGTGCTTCGCCGCGATTATCTCCGCAGCAGCTGCGTGAGTGGCTTGTTCGGCGCGCACGCCTTCGGAGTAGAGCTCCCGGAGCTGGAGGTGCTGGAGTTACTGCTGGACCAGGTGGTAGTGGAGGTACTGCGGCTACCGGTCCTGGAGGTGCTCGTACCAGGGGTGCTGGAGCTGCCGGGACTTGTGGTGTTGGGGGCGCTTGAGCTGGAGACCCTACGGAGCCTGGAGCTGCTGGAGCTGGAGGCTCTTGCGCTGGTGGAGCTGGCGCTGGAGGCGCTGGAGCTGGAGGAGCTGGAGTTGGAGGCACTGGCGCGGGAGGCGCTGGAGCTGGCGGAGCTGGAGCTGTTGACCCTGGAGCTCGAGGTGCTGGAGGCACTATGCGGCCGCGACCGTACTTCGTTCCCCTGCTTCAGCAGGTTCTTGGTGCCCCGTCTTCTCCTGGCCTTACTCCTCCCTTACTGTGTCCACCGCCTGACCAGTCGCAGCCGTCGTTACAGCCGGCCTCCCGACTGCCTGCTCCCTCTCCTTATACTGAGCAGACCGGCGGTCTTACAGAGCGTCGTGAGCCTGCGTCTCGTCCTGTCTCGCCTATTCGCATTGCTCGTCGCGTTCCTTGTCCGCGTCCTCCTCCTGTCCCCAGCACGCACGCCATGGCACTACGTCCTTCCTCTGTTCCACTGCGTGTTCCTCTGCCTGCTCCTCCTGAGTCCTCTCTTCCTGCGGTCCCTGACACTGAGTCTGACCGCGCTCGTGCTGCCAGTCCCATTGTCTCTCGTCTCCTTGCCACTGCTGTCACTGACCCTTCTTTTGAGTCTGCTGCTGCGTCTGCTCTAGTTGCTGAGCTGCTTGACTTTGCTGCTGCCTGCCGTCTAGACTACGCCACTGCTCTAGTTGCTGAGTCTGAGTCTGCCAGTCCTCCGTCCGTCGGGGGTGAGTGTGCTCTTGGCACGAACGTCCTTGAGGACAGGTAGGAGGACTTTGAGTCTCTTGCAGCTGCTGTACCTCGTTTCGCTTCCATGCTGCTTGCCCTTGAGGGAGACCCGGATGCACCAGACATCCCGACCTCGCGATCTTACGCAGAGGCGATTACGGGTCCTTACTCCTCTCAGTGGCAGGCAGCCATGGATGCCGAGATGGCATCCTGGAAGTCCACAGGCACCTACATCGACGAGGGTCCCCCACGTGGGGCGAACATAGTCAATGGCATGTGGATCTTCAGGGTGAAGCGGCCGCCGGGTTCTGCGCCTGCCTTCAAGGCGCGTTACGTTGCTCGAGGCTTCAGTCAGCGACAGGGGGTTGACTACTTCCATTCCTTCTCCCCCACCCCGAAGATGACTACTCTTCGGGTGTTGCTGCACGTCGCTGCTCAGCGTGACTACGAGTTGCACTCTCTGGACTTGAGCACTGCTTTCCTGCAGGGCAGCCTGCACGAGGAGATCTGGCTGCGCCGCCCACCTGGCTTCACTGGGTCGTTTCCTGCAGGTACCCAGTGGAGCCTCCGGCGGCCAATCTACGGTCTCCGCCAGGCGCCTCGCGAGTGACACGACACGCTGAGGACTACACTTGCGGCTCTTGGGTTTGCTCCTTCTACTGCTGACCCGTCGCTGTTTCTCCGCACCGACACCTCGCTGCCGCCGTTCTACGTCCTCGTGTACGTAGACGACCTCGTCTTTGCAACTGCTGACACCGAGGCACTGACCCTTGTGAAGTCGGAGCTGCAGAAGAGACATACCTGCATTGACCTGGGTGAACTGCGCAGCTATCTTGGCTTGCAGATCACCCGGGACAGAGCACGGCGCACCATCACCCTGACTCAGTCACACATGGTGCACCAAGTCCTTCAGCGCTTCGGCTTCCAGTTCTCCTCGCCACAGCCTGCTCCTCTGTCTACCGGCCACTCGCTCTCAGCTCCACCTTCGGACGAGTCCGTAGAGCCGAGTGGTCCGTACCCAGAGCTAGTGGGTTGCCTCGTGTACCTGATGACGTGCACACGACCTGACCTCGCGTACCCTCTCAGCCTTCTGGCTCGCTACGTGGCTCTCGCTAGGCACCGAAAGGTGCACTGGGATGCTGCGAAGAGGGTACTGCGTTACTTGTGCAGTACGTCGGGCATGGGGCTCGTGCTTGGAGGACGGGGTCCAGTTGTCCTCACTGGTCACGTAGATGCTTCGTGGGTTGACGACTTGGCTACGCAGCGGTCGTCACAGGGTTACACCTTCAGCCTTGGTTCGGGCTCTGTTTCCTGGCGGTCTACCCGCTCGTCTTCGGTTCTGAGCTCCAGTTGTGAGGCTGAGGTCTACGCAGGGGTCATGGCTGCACAGGAGCTACGCTGGCTCACCTACCTGCTGACTGACTTGGGAGAGCAGCCTCGTTTGCCTCCAGTCCTGTACATAGACAACAATGCCATGATTGCCTTGTGTCAGGAGCACAGACTGGAGCACAGAACGAAGCACATCGCTTTGCGTTACTCCCTTGCTCAAGAGTTGCAGTAGCGTGGCCAGCTTCGTCTTGCGTACGTGGCCACTAGGGCCAACACTGCTGATATATTCACCAAGGCACTTCCGACTGGTGATCATCAACGCTTCTCTACTGTGTTAGGCCTTGTTCCTACTTTGCCTCACTTGCTTACTGCGTGACTTTACGTGTACTGTGATCTATATATATACCTGCATGCTTGCACTTGCTAGGGTATGATCACAGTGTTGTTTATTGTCTTTTATATAACTCTGCATGTGAACTGGCCTTGTGGCCCTTTGCTTGTGCTCGGACTGTGTGGTGACTTTGTGATCCACCCTGAGCTTGCTTTGCTTTTCTTGACTGGTCTTGTGACCACTTGTTCTCCCCCACTTTGCCTATGGGGGTGTGTCAAACTTATATATAGCTTACATTGTGTAGGCTGTAGTGGGGTAGCCCATAAAGGGTACAACCCAATTAGGGTTAGTACTTGTACCCATCTCTTTGTTAGTTCATGCATTCTCGTTCGTTATTTTGACATGCGCTTATGGCCGATCCTCAATTATAAGCGCAGCCCGTGTAAAACCCTGTTTCCCGTAACACGCGTGTTGGGCTTATTACCTGTAACACGCGCATAACACGCGTGTCGGGCTTTTGACACTCTAGTTCCATAACACGCGTAACATCCTCAATTACGTATTCCCGTAACACGCGCCCTTAGTTACCATTCACATATTTTTCTCACAATGCCGTAGGACCTCGACAGAAGCATCTTCGCGTAGTGTATGTTACGGTGAGCTTTCACGATTTTGGCGTGCCGCATAGCGACTAACAATGTTTGACCTGAGCGCGGCGACCAGCTTCTAGCTTGGCCACTGCCAGCAGCGGACGTGGGCGACGAGCAGCGCGCGACTAGCAGCGGCTGGCGGCGGGCGGCGGGCGGCGGCGGGCGCGATGAGCGTGGTGCCGCGGGAGAGCGTGCAGGTGGCGGCGCACAGCATCGGCATCGCGAGTCTCGGCGATGACGTGGCTGCCGCGCTGGCGCCTGACGTGGAGTACCGCATGCGCGAGATCATCCAGGCAAGGCCCAGGCCGAATGGGGAAGGATGGGCCGTGGGTGGGCGGGGCATGGGTGGGGGAGGAGGGAGTACCGACGGCGCGGGTGCGGGGCGAGGTCGCGTGCGCGCATACGCGCAGCCGTTCATAGTCGCAGAAGTCTCATAGTCGCGTTTCATAGCACTCGCAGCATCGCTCAGCGTAGAACTCTCACAATCCCTGCTCCCGTTTCCTCGCTCCGCTGTCTCCCTCGGCTCTCTCACTACGCCATGTCTTGCCATCCCCACCATGCCACGCGCGCCCTGAGCAGGAGGCGGTGAAGTGCATGCGGCACAGCCGGAGCACCACTCTCACCACCGCTCACATCGCCGCCGCCCTCAGCCTCAGGAACGTGGAGGTGAGCCGCGCTGCTTCCAGGTGTGCTGCTGCCGCGCATGCTGCTGCCGGGCAGCACTCCTCCCGTCCCCACGCATTGCTCTCCACTCCTCCCGTCCCCACGCATTGCTCTCCACTCCTCCCGTGCCCACGCATTGCTCTCCACTCCTCCCGTCCCCACGCATTGCTCTCCACTCCTCTGCATTCACCTCCCTCATCTCCCCCCTTCCTCCGCCAACCCCCACTCCCCCCCCTCCCCCGGTGCCATGGCAGCCGTTGTTTGGGCTGGCAGCGGCGGACAGCGTGCGGTTCCGGCGGGCAGTGGGGCACAGCGACGTCGTCTTCCTGCACGACCCCACCCTGCCACTCTCCCAGGTAACCCGCTCTCCCAGGTAACCCGCTCTCCCAGGTAACCCGCTCTCCCAGGTAACCCACTCTCCCAGGTAACCCACTCTCCCAGGTAACCCACTCTCCCAGGTAACCCACTCTCCCAGGTAACCCACTCTCCCAGGTAACCCACTCTCCCAGGTAACCCGCTCTCCCAGGTAACCCGCTCTCCCAGGTGGGCCGCTCTCTCAGGTGGGCCTTCAAGCACGGCACACTTGCTGAGCTGTGGCTGCGGGTTGTTACCATGCTGCAGCGTCATGCCTCCAAGGTCGTGTCGTTTGCACACTTTCCTCTTCCCAACTACCAACTCACCTGCACCTTCTCGCCAACGCCACTTCCCCCCCCCCCTTCCATCCATTGTCCCCACCTTCGCCCCCCGCATTCCTGGGCGCCCCATGCGTCTCACCACGTGCCGCCGTGGGCCCCCCCTCGTTCCCCCCTGTGCCTGTCGCGCGGCAGGTGGTGGAGGCGCGGGTGCCGTGCGCGCCGGTGGACGTGAGTGTGGCGGCGCACTGGCTGGCCGTGGACGGCACGCAGCCCGCCACGCCTGAGAACGCCCCGCCCGCAGGTGGGGTGGTGGTGAGCGGGACGAGGGGGGGAGGATGAGGGGAAGTACGTTGGTTGGTGAGTGGCTTGGCTCACTGAGCGAGGGCAGGCAAGGCGTGGCGCTGGTGCCATGTGCCCCGTGCATCCGTGCACATCCCCTTTCAAGGGCCGTGCGTCCCATCCCATGCACGGCTCACACCACACCAGCACTCTGACTCAGCTGCCGTGTGGGCAGCACTCCGCTCCGTGCCCATCATTGCCACCCACACTCATATACTTCTTCCCCCCTCCTGCCCTGCGCCCCCCAGGCATGCCAGCAGCAGCAGCAGTGAAGGCGGAGGCAGGGCGGGCAGCAGAGGGCAGCACACAGCGAGCAACGGGAGGGGCAGGTGGGGGGGCAGGCGGGGGGGAGGTGGTGGAGGTGAAGCTGCCCGTAAAGCACGTGCTCTCCAAGGAGCTGCAGGTGCCGTCCGACCCCGCCCTCCCTGCTCCTGCCTCTCACATGCACTCCTCCCTTGCACGTCGACTTTCTTCACCGTCCCTGTTTCCCGCCGCCTCCCTGTCCTTTCACTTCCGAGACCCCTTGTTTCTTTTCCCCGCCTTGTGTTGCTCAACCCCCTCACTGGTCCATTGTTCAGCCCTGCACACAGACACTCAAAAACCCCTCTTTTGAATTCATCCTACTCACTCGCATCTTACGTTTGAAGCCTCCTTTTAACAACTCCCACTCTTTATCCCCACACCAACCTCCCCCCCCTCCTCCCACCTTTCCCCCTCGACCACCCGTCCTGCGCCTGCCTCGGCAGCTCTACTTCGAGCGCGTCACCGAGCTCGTGCTGCTCACTGCCCGCCCCGCTCCCCCCGCCACATCCTCCGCGCCCAGGCCAGGGGGGCAGCAGCAGAGTGTGCTGTCTCACGCGCTGCGCAGTGTGGCGGTGGATGCGGGGCTGCATGCGCTTCTGCCCTACTTGGTTCACTTCATTGCTGACGAGGCCAGTCCCCCTGCGCTGCGCTGCACTGCATGCCCTCTTCTCCTCTTCTCCTAGTCTTCATTGCATCTCTTCCATTGCATCTCTTCCATTGCACAACCAGCACACGCTTTGGACTGCCATCTTAGCTGCATTATGCGCTGGACACATTGTGCTTTTTCTTGAGCCCAGTCCTCCCTTCTCTGTACTCTGCGTCCACATTCACTCATCAACTCCTCGTACTGGCCCAACCATTGCAACATCCCACCGTCTGCATCACTTTGTCCCATCGTCTCGCCTCCCATCTCATCCCCTCAACACCCCCCCCTGCTGGTGCGCCGTCCCCAGGTGATGCGCTCGCTGGACGACTGTGCGCTGCTGGGCAGCCTCATGCGCCTCGCCAGGGCGCTGCTGCTCAACCTGCACCTCCACTTGGAGCCATACGTGAGTCGGTGCGCGCACATGGAGCCATACGTGAGTCTGTGCGCGCACATGGAGCCATACATGAGTCGGTGCGCGCACATGGAGCCATACGTGAGTCAGTGCGCGCACATGGAGCCATACGTGAGTCGGTGCGCGCACATGGAGCCATACGTGAGTCGATGCGCGCACATGGAGCCATACGTGAGTCGGTGCGCGCACATGGAGCCATACGTGAGTCGGTGCGCGCACATGGAGCCATACGTGAGTCGGTGCGGGCGCATGGAGCCATACGTGAGTCGGTGCGCGCGCATGGAGCCATACGTGAGTCGGTGCGCGCGCATGGAGCCATACGTGAGTCGGTGCGCGCGCATGGAGCCATACGTGAGTCGGTGCGCGCGCATGGAGCCATACGTGAGTCGGTGCGCGCGCATGGAGCCATACGTGAGTCGGTGCGCGCGCATGGAGCCATACGTGAGTCAGTGCGCGCGCATGGAGCCATACGTGAGTCAGTGCGCGCACATGGAGCCATACGTGAGTCGGTGCGCGCGCATGGAGCCATACGTGAGTCGGTGCGCGCGCATGGAGCCATACGTGAATCGGTGCGCGCACATGGAGCCATACATGAGTCGGTGCACGCACATGGAGCCATACGTGAGTCGGTGCGCGCACATGGAGCCATACGTGAGTCGGTGAGCACACATGGAGCCATACGTGAGTCAGTGCGCGCACATGGAGCCATACGTGAGTCGGTGCGCGCACATGGAGCCATACGTGAGTCGGTGCGCGCACATGGAGCCATACGTGAGTCGGTGCGCGCACATGGAGCCATACGTGAGTCGGTGCGCTCACATGGAGCCATACGTGAGTCTGTGCGCGCACATGGAGCCATACGTGAGTCGGTGCGCGCACATGGAGCCATACGTGAGTCGGTGCGCGCACATGGAGCCATACATGAGTCGGTGCGCGCACGTGGAGCCATACGTGAGTCGGTGCACGCATGTGGAGCCATACGTGAGTCGGTGCGCGCACATGGAGCCATACGTGAGTCGGTGCGCGCGCATGGAGCCATACGTGACTCGGTGCGCGCGCATGGAGCCATACGTGACTCGGTGCGCGCGCATGGAGCCATACGTGAGTCGGTGCGCGCGCATGGAGCCATACGTGAGTCGGTGCGCGCCAGGGAGCCATACGTGAGTCGGTGCGCGCGCATGGAGTCATACGTGAGTCGGTGCGCGCGCATGGAGCCATACGTGAGTCGGTGCGCGCGCATGGAGCCATACGTGAGTCGGTGCGCGCGCATGGAGCCATACGTGAGTCGGTGCGCGCCAGGGAGCCATACGTGAGTCGGTGCGCGCGCATGGAGCCATACGTGAGTCGGTGCGCGCGCATGGAGCCATACGTGAGTCGGTGCGCGAGCATGGAGCCATGCGTGAGTCGGTGCGCGCGCATGGAGCCATACGTGAGTCGGTGCACGCGCATGGAGCCATACGTGAGTCGGTGCGCGCGCATGGAGCCATACGTGAGTCGGTGCGCGCGCATGGAGCCATACGTGAGTCGGTGCGCGCGCATGGAGCCATACGTGAGTCGGTGCGCGCCAGGGAGCCATACGTGAGTCGGTGCGCGCGCATGGAGTCATACGTGAGTCGGTGCGCGCGCATGGAGCCATACGTGAGTCGGTGCGCGCGCATGGAGCCATACGTGAGTCGGTGCGCGCGCATGGAGCCATACGTGACTCGGTGCGCGCGCATGGAGCCATACGTGAGTCGGTGCGCGCGCATGGAGCCATACGTGAGTCGGTGCGCGCCAGGGAGCCATACGTGAGTCGGTGCGCGCGCATGGAGTCATACGTGAGTCGGTGCGCGCGCATGGAGCCATACGTGAGTCGGTGCGCGCGCATGGAGCCATACGTGAGTCGGTGCGCGCGCATGGAGCCATACGTGAGTCGGTGCGCGCCAGGGAGCCATACGTGAGTCGGTGCGCGCGCATGGAGCCATACGTGAGTCGGTGCGCGCGCATGGAGCCATACGTGAGTCGGTGCGCGAGCATGGAGCCATGCGTGAGTCGGTGCGCGCGCATGGAGCCATACGTGAGTCGGTGCACGCGCATGGAGCCATACGTGAGTCGGTGCGCGCGCATGGAGCCATACGTGAGTCGGTGCGCGCGCATGGAGCCATACGTGAGTCGGTGCGCGCGCATGGAGCCATACGTGAGTCGGTGCGCGCGCATGGAGCCATACGTGAGTCGGTGCGCGCGCATGGAGCCATACATGAGTCGGTGCGCGCGCATGGAGCCATACATGAGTCGGTGCGCGCGCATGGAGCCATACGTGAGTCAGTGCGCGCACATGGAGCCATACGTGAGTCGGTGCGCGCGCATGGAGCCATACGTGAGTCGGTGCGCGCGCATGGAGCCATACGTGAGTCGGTGCGTGCGCATGGAGCCATACGTGAGTCGGTGCGCGCACATGGAGCCATACGTGAGTCGGTGCGCGCACATGGAGCCATACGTGAGTCGGTACGCGCACATAGAGCCATACGTGAGTCGGTGCGCGCACATGGAGCCATACGTGAGTCGGTGCGCGCACATGGAGCCATACGTGAGTCGGTGCGCACACATGGAGCCATACGTGAGTCGGTGCGCGCACATGGAGCCATACGTGAGTCGGTGCGCGCACATGGAGCCATACGTGAGTCGGTGCGCGCACATGGAGCCATACGTGAGTCGGTGCGCGCACATGGAGCCATACGTGAGTCGGTGAGCGCACATGGAGCCATAAGTGAGTCAGTGCACGCACATGGAGCCATACGTGAGTCGGTGCGCGCACATGGAGCCATACGTGAGTCGGTGCGCGCACATGGAGCCATACGTGAGTCGGTGCGCGCACATGGAGCCATACGTGAGTCGGTGCGCTCACATGGAGCCATACGTGAGTCTGTGCGCGCACATGGAGCCATACGTGAGTCGGTGCGCGCACATGGAGCCATACGTGAGTCGGTGCGCGCACATGGAGCCATACATGAGTCGGTGCGCGCACGTGGAGCCATACGTGAGTCGGTGCGCGCACATGGAGCCCCAGGTGTGAATGCATGGCATCACATGAATGCATGGCATCACATGAATGCATGGCATCACATGAATGCATGGCATCACATGAATGCATGGCATCACATGAATGCATGGCATCACATGAATGCATGGCATCACATGAATGCATGGCATCACATGAATGCATGGCATCACATGAATGCATGGCATCACATGAATGCATGGCATCACATGAATGCATGGCATCACATGAATGCATGGCATCACATGAATGCATGGCATCACATGAATGCATGGCATCACATGAATGCATGGCATCACATGAATGCATGGCATCACATGAATGCATGGCATCACATGAATGCATGGCATCACATGAATGCATGGCATCACATGAATGCATGGCATCACATGAATGCATGGCATCACATGAATGCATGGCATCACATGAATGCATGGCATCACATGAATGCATGGCATCACATGAATGCATGGCATCACATGAATGCATGGCATCACATGAATGCATGGCATCACATGAATGCATGGCATCACATGAATGCATGGCATCACATGAATGCATGGCATCACATGAATGCGTGGCATCACATGAATGCGTGGCATCACATGAATGCGTGGCATCACATGAATGCGTGGCATCACATGAATGCGTGGCATCACATGAAATGCATGGCATCACATGAATGCATGGCATCACATGAATGCATGGCATCACATGAATGCATGGCATCACATGAATGCATGGCATCACATGAATGCATGGCATCACATGAATGCATGGCATCACATGAATGCATGGCATCACATGAATGCATGGCATCACATGAATGCATGGCATCACATGAATGCATGGCATCACATGAATGCATGGCATCACATGAATGCATGGCATCACATGAATGCATGGCATCACATGAATGCATGGCATCACATGAATGCATGGCATCACATGAATGCATGGCATCACATGAATGCATGGCATCACATGAATGCATGGCATCACATGAATGCATGGCATCACATGAATGCATGGCATCACATGAATGCATGGCATCACATGAATGCATGGCATCACATGAATGCATGGCATCACATGAATGCATGGCATCACATGAATGCATGGCATCACATGAATGCATGGCATCACATGAATGCATGGCATCACATGAATGCATGGCATCACATGAATGCATGGCATCACATGAATGCATGGCATCACATGAATGCATGGCATCACATGAATGCATGGCATCACATGAATGCGTGGCATCACATGAATGCGTGGCATCACATGAATGCGTGGCATCACATGAATGCGTGGCATCACATGAATGCGTGGCATCACATGAATGCGTGGCATCACATGAATGCGTGGCATCACATGAATGCGTGGCATCACATGAATGCATGGCATCACATGAATGCATGGCATCACATGAATGCATGGCATCACATGAATGCATGGCATCACATGAATGCATGGCATCACATGAATGCATGGCATCACATGAATGCATGGCATCACATGAATGCATGGCATCACATGAATGCATGGCATCACATGAATGCATGGCATCACATGAATGCATGGCATCACATGAATGCATGGCATCACATGAATGCATGGCATCACATGAATGCATGGCATCACATGAATGCATGGCATCACATGAATGCATGGCATCACATGAATGCATGGCATCACATGAATGCATGGCATCACATGAATGCATGGCATCACATGAATGCATGGCATCACATGAATGCGTGGCATCACATGAATGCGTGGCATCACATGAATGCATGGCATCACATGAAAGCATGGCATCACATGAATGCATGGCATCACATGAATGCATGGCATCACATGAATGCATGGCATCACATGAATGCATGGCATCACATGAATGCATGGCATCACATGAATGCATGGCATCACATGAATGCATGGCATCACATGAATGCATGGCATCACATGAATGCATGGCATCACATGAATGCATGGCATCACATGAATGCATGGCATCACATGAATGCATGGCATCACATGAATGCATGGCATCACATGAATGCATGGCATCACATGAATGCATGGCATCACATGAATGCATGGCATCACATGAATGCATGGCATCACATGAATGCATGGCATCACATGAATGCATGGCATCACATGAATGCATGGCATCACATGAATGCATGGCATCACATGAATGCATGGCATCACATGAATGCGTGGCATCACATGAATGCGTGGCATCACATGAATGCGTGGCATCACATGAATGCGTGGCATCACATGAATGCGTGGCATCACATGAATGCGTGGCATCACATGAATGCGTGGCATCACATGAATGCGTGGCATCACATGAATGCATGGCATCACATGAAAGCATGGCATCACATGAAAGCATGGCATCACATGAATGCATGGCATCACATGAATGCATGGCATCACATGAATGCATGGCATCACATGAATGCATGGCATCACATGAATGCATGGCATCACATGAATGCATGGCATCACATGAATGCATGGCATCACATGAATGCATGGCATCACATGAATGCATGGCATCACATGAATGCATGGCATCACATGAATGCATGGCATCACATGAATGCATGGCATCACATGAATGCATGGCATCACATGAATGCATGGCATCACATGAATGCATGGCATCACATGAATGCGTGGCATCACATGAATGCGTGGCATCACATGAATGCGTGGCATCACATGAATGCGTGGCATCACATGAATGCGTGGCATCACATGAATGCATGGCATCACATGAATGCATGGCATCACATGAATGCATGGCATCACATGAATGCATGGCATCACATGAATGCGTGGCATCACATGAATGCGTGGCATCACATGAATGCGTGGCATCACATGAATGCGTGGCATCACATGAATGCGTGGCATCACATGAATGCATGGCATCACATGAATGCATGGCATCACATGAATGCATGGCATCACATGAATGCATGGCATCACATGAATGCATGGCATCACATGAATGCAGTGGCATCACATGAATGCATGGCATCACATGAATGCGTGGCATCACATGAATGCATGGCATCACATGAATGCATGGCATCACATGAATGCATGGCATCACATGAATGCATGGCATCACATGAATGCATGGCATCACATGAATGCGTGGCATCACATGAATGCGTGGCATCACATGAATGCGTGGCATCACATGAATGCGTGGCATCACATGAATGCATGGCATCACATGAATGCATGGCATCACATGAATGCATGGCATCACATGAATGCATGGCATCACATGAATGCATGGCATCACATGAATGCATGGCATCACATGAATGCATGGCATCACATGAATGCATGGCATCACATGAATGCATGGCATCACATGAATGCATGGCATCACATGAATGCATGGCATCACATGAATGCATGGCATCACATGAATGCATGGCATCACATGAATGCATGGCATCACATGAATGCGTGGCATCACATGAATGCGTGGCATCACATGAATGCGTGGCATCACATGAATGCGTGGCATCACATGAATGCGTGGCATCACATGAATGCATGGCATCACATGAATGCATGGCATCACATGAATGCGTGGCATCACATGAATGCGTGGCATCACATGAATGCGTGGCATCACATGAATGCGTGGCATCACATGAATGCGTGGCATCACATGAATGCGTGGCATCACATGAATGCGTGGCATCACATGAATGCATGGCATCACATGAATGCATGGCATCACATGAATGCATGGCATCACATGAATGCATGGCATCACATGAATGCATGGCATCACATGAATGCGTGGCATCACATGAATGCATGGCATCACATGAATGCGTGGCATCACATGAAGGCATGGCATCACATGAACGCATGGCATCACATGAACGCATGGCATCACATGAATGCATGGCATCACATGAATGCGTGGCATCACATGAATGCGTGGCATCACATGAATGCGTGGCATCACATGAATGCGTGGCATCACATGAATGCGTGGCATCACATGAATGCATGGCATCACATGAATGCATGGCATCACATGAATGCATGGCATCACATGAATGCATGGCATCACATGAATGCATGGCATCACATGAATGCATGGCATCACATGAATGCATGGCATCACATGAATGCATGGCATCACATGAATGCATGGCATCACATGAATGCATGGCATCACATGAATGCATGGCATCACATGAATGCATGGCATCACATGAATGCGTGGCATCACATGAATGCGTGGCATCACATGAATGCGTGGCATCACATGAATGCATGGCATCACATGAATGCATGGCATCACATGAATGCATGGCATCACATGAATGCATGGCATCACATGAATGCATGGCATCACATGAATGCATGGCATCACATGAATGCATGGCATCACATGAATGCATGGCATCACATGAATGCATGGCATCACATGAATGCATGGCATCACATGAATGCATGGCATCACATGAATGCATGGCATCACATGAATGCATGGCATCACATGAATGCATGGCATCACATGAATGCATGGCATCACATGAATGCATGGCATCACATGAATGCATGGCATCACATGAATGCATGGCATCACATGAATGCATGGCATCACATGAATGCATGGCATCACATGAATGCATGGCATCACATGAATGCATGGCATCACATGAATGCATGGCATCACATGAATGCATGGCATCACATGAATGCATGGCATCACATGAATGCATGGCATCACATGAATGCATGGCATCACATGAATGCATGGCATCACATGAATGCATGGCATCACATGAATGCATGGCATCACATGAATGCATGGCATCACATGAATGCATGGCATCACATGAATGCATGGCATCACATGAATGCATGGCATCACATGAATGCATGGCATCACATGAATGCATGGCATCACATGAATGCGTGGCATCACATGAATGCGTGGCATCACATGAATGCGTGGCATCACATGAATGCGTGGCATCACATGAATGCGTGGCATCACATGAATGCATGGCATCACATGAAAGCATGGCATCACATGAAAGCATGGCACATGAATGCATGGCATCACATGAATGCATGGCATCACATGAATGCATGGCATCACATGAATGCATGGCATCACATGAATGCATGGCATCACATGAATGCATGGCATCACATGAATGCATGGCATCACATGAATGCATGGCATCACATGAATGCATGGCATCACATGAATGCATGGCATCACATGAATGCATGGCATCACATGAATGCATGGCATCACATGAATGCATGGCATCACATGAATGCATGGCATCACATGAATGCATGGCATCACATGAATGCATGGCATCACATGAATGCATGGCATCACATGAATGCGTGGCATCACATGAATGCGTGGCATCACATGAATGCGTGGCATCACATGAATGCGTGGCATCACATGAATGCGTGGCATCACATGAATGCGTGGCATCACATGAATGCATGGCATCACATGAATGCATGGCATCACATGAATGCATGGCATCACATGAATGCATGGCATCACATGAATGCGTGGCATCACATGAATGCGTGGCATCACATGAATGCGTGGCATCACATGAATGCGTGGCATCACATGAATGCATGGCATCACATGAATGCATGGCATCACATGAATGCATGGCATCACATGAATGCATGGCATCACATGAATGCATGGCATCACATGAATGCATGGCATCACATGAATGCATGGCATCACATGAATGCATGGCATCACAATACCGCATGGCATCACATTACCGCATCGCGCAAGAATGCGGTTTCTCTTGGATCTGTGCTGGACTGGGCGTGGCAGCGAACGAGGGCTGCTTCTGTTGCTCACACAGCGCTGGGAGATGAATGGAGACCGTCAACTCTTGATCCTGTGCTGAGAGATGAGTGGAGACCGTCAACTCTTGATCCTGTGCTGAGAGATGAGTGGAGACCGTCAACTCTTGATCCTGTGCTGAGAGATGAGTGGAGACCGTCAACTCTTGATCCTGTGCTGAGAGATGAGTGGAGACCGTCAACTCTTGATCCTGTTCTGAGAGATGAGTGGAGACCGTCAACTCTTGATCCTGTGCTGAGAGATGAGTGGAGACCGTCAACTCTTGATCCTGTGCTGAGAGATGAGTGGAGACTGTCAACTCTTGATCCTGTGCTGAGAGATGAGTGGAGACCGTCAACTCTTGATCCTGCTTTCTGTCTCACCGCGCCTGAGTCGTCTGCGCATGCCTCTCATGCGTGCCTCTCATGCGTGCCTCTCATGCGTGCCTCTCATGCATGCCTCTCATGCGTGCCTCTCTCTACCCCAGCAAGCGGCATCAGTGGCCGTGGCACCTCACCTGCGCCTCTACCACCCGGCACTGCTGCGCCGCCTGCTGGAGGGCGGACACGAGGGGGGGGCAGCACATGGTGGGGAGGCAGGTGGTGAACGGGTCACACACTCGAGTGGTGCAGCAGGGCCAGGGAAGGCAGCAGGGCCAGGGAAGGCAGCAGGGATGGGCGGAGGACTATCGAAGCGTGCTCCAGGGGGGGTGAGGTTCGCTGCCAGTCCTCGAGTGGCCTTACCCGCTGTGCGCACGGTGCCTCCTCTGCCGCCGCCGCTGCCATACGCGCAGGCCAGCAGGGAGGCATCGCTGCAGCTCTTCTTCCCGGCGCTGCGGCAGGGACAGCGGCAGCGGCAGCAGCGGTACGGCGGGCTGGAGGGGCTGGAGGGGCTGGAGGGGCTGGAGGGCTTCCCCATGGGGCTGGGCGAGGGGGGTTACGTCGATGACCACAGCAACGAGTGGGAGGCGGGCGGCGCGGGGCGGCTGTGGGCGGTGGCGGAGCGCGTGGGGCCGGTGGTGGTGTGCAGTGGGAATGGCGGCGGGCGCGACTACGAGGTGCAGGACGCTCGCTCCAAGGCCGCTCTCGCAGCCCTGGCAGGGGTGGGCGGGGGTGCTGAGACGCAAGGCCAGGGGGGTGTGGGGAGAAGTGAAAGTGGGGAGAATGTGGGTTTGCTAGTTGAGGGGCTGGTTTATTTGTTAGGGGATGCGATGATCCCTTTTGTACGCACTGCACCTTTGTTCATGTGTCTGTAAGTGCGTATTGTAAAGGCTTGTTTATTCTTGGTGAATACGAAAATACTCTGGCGTAATGCAGGTGTGTGGCAGCATTGTGAGTCACATGCTTCCCACTTCAGCACATGGCGTCCTCTCTCCAGAGGGATCTGCTGTGATCCAGGCACTCGCTCCCAAACACCTGCAGCGCACAGCACAGCACTGTACTCCGACACTTCCCATCTTCAATTGCTACAACCTGGTACTAGTAAAGGAGTACCTCCTCAGCACCGTACCACAGCTTAACTTATCCAGCGCTAAAGCCCATTGTATGCAGGGCAGGGGTGAATGAGATCAGAGCTCATCATGCGCGGGCTGGACGTCCTTTAGCATGGCCTCCAGCTGTTGCTCCAACTCCTGCACACAGGGGGGGAGGGGAGGGGACCAAGTGTTGCATGACGTGGACGAGGGGAGTGGAGTGGAGAGCAGCCAAGAGTGGTATAGTTGAAGAGCAAGGCCGACCACAGCGACACCAAGGTGGTATGCCAAGGTGGTATGCCAAGGTGGTATGGTATGGCAAGCAGGTCGAGAGGGTAGAAGGCAGGAGGAAAATTAAGGCTTAGAAAATCTATCATTCTTGGGGGGTCAGGAGGAGGGCACGTGGAGGTGGGCGGCACACCTTGGCTTTTTCTTCCGTGCACAGTGATGGCGTGGTCATGACGGCCGAATACCTGGTGGCACCACGGGGAGGGGGATGGGGGACACAGGGAGTGGTGGTGGTGATGGCGAGACGCGAGGGAGGCACGATGAGATAGCGGGTACGGTGTGGATAGAAAGCCATGGCATGGCGTGGCATGGGATTGCATCGGAGAGCATAGATGACATGGATGGCATGGTAGGCGCGTGATATCGGGTACCTTGCTCTCGACACACCATATTTAGGGCACGCTGATGAACTTTGGGGTTGAGTTGAATTGCGAGGCTACCGGCTTCGCAAATGCCGCGACGGGAAAGGGCGAAAACACAAATGTGACGAGGTTCGCAATACGGAAATCTCTGGTATCGAGCCACAAAATCCCCCAAAACTCAAACATGGACCAGTTGAGCCCACACTGTTACATTGCGACAGTGGGCGAAGCACGGCGTAAAGTGGCACAAGCGAGCAGGATAGCCAAAAAAACACAAGAAAAGTTGCGTGGCATGCTGTCGATTGTACAACACTTGGTAACACCACTGACGCGGTGCCGGAGAGTCGAAGGACATTGGACTGCCGGTATTGCATTTGTGCATGTACTTGCATTTGTGCATGTACTTGCATTTGTGCATGTACTTGCATTTGTGCATGTACTTGCATTTGTGCATGTACTTGCATTTGTGCATGTACTTGCATTTGTGCATGTACTTGCATTTGTGCATGTGCTTGCATTTGTGCATGTACTTGCATTTGTGCATGTACTTGCATTTGTGCATGTACTTGCGCCATCCATTTAATCAGCACGACAAAAGATTCGACCTACGGTTTGAAAACACAAACTCGTTTCCTGTGCACTCGTTTTGTGGCTCCAATCATGTAAGCGCCTACGGGACGGAGTATGTTCCGTCCGTGTGTGAGGCGAGGGGAGGGCGAGTCCACACGGGGAGAGGCGTGAGGGGGGCATCCAAGAAAAGTGACGGAGATAGTGGAGGGGACTGTGTGGAGAGAACCGATCAGACAGAATTGTGTGAAGGGAATGGAGTGAATAGGAAGTGAGTTAAGGGAAGGGAGTAGAGGGGAGTTAGAGTGGGAGAAGGAGAGTGAGGGCGGGGAGTGGGAGAAGGGAGGGCGAGAGGGGCGACTGACTCGCAGCGGTTGGGTTCGTCCACCGCCAGCACCGCCACGTCCGCCCCGCACTTGAAGTGCACCTGCCATGCCATGCCATGCCATGCCATGCCATGCCATGCCATGCCATGCCATGCGTGCACCACAAGGGGCATGGGAGAAGGGTTCGGAGGGAAAGGGCAGGGAGGGTAGTGAGAACGGTGTGTGGCTAATGAAGGGATGGAGCAGGTGGGGGTGTTAAGGGTGGAGCAGGTGGGGGTGTTGAGGGTGGAGCGAGCAGGAGCAGCGAGTGATGCATGGATGCTCACCTTGATGCTCCTTGCCGGTCCATTCCAGCAGTGCTCGCCATCCTCAAACGCCATCACTGTGTGGTCCTCCTCAAACCGCTTGAAGTGCCTGCCCGTCCGCCAGCCATGCCACACCACACACAGGGTCAGTGGGGGGCGAGGGAGGGGTTGTACCGAGATGGGGGTAGGAAAGGGTGCGTGAAGAGAGGAGGGAAGGTGAAGGTGGAAGAGGGTTATGGGATGAAGAGTGTAGTGAAGAGGGTTATGGGATGAAGAATGTACTGAAGAGTGTAGTGAAGAGGTTGGCAACAGAACAGAGCGCTCGTTATCAAAACGTCTGAAAACTCACCTCATACGCATGGTGCCCACCAGCCTTACACCTTTGGTCGTTTCCCCAACATCAGTTTAAGATACCTCTTGATTCCTTTCCATCCATCTCCTATCATGCACAAAAACGATTGTGCCAGCACCATGCAATGATGCCGTAACAGTGTCTCACCCAAGAGTGGTCTCGGAGTGGCCTTCCTTCTGCACCGCCTTCTTGTACGGGCAGATCTCATATGTGTACCTGCTCCGCCCAGTGCCCGCATGCACGACACATGGGTGGAGTGGAACGAAGCAAGTGAATGGCTACCAGTGCGCAGCCACAAGCACGTGCAGGCATGGGATGCGGGAACGGTCCCAAGCCAAAAGGAAAGTGAACCGCAAAGAAAGCAGACAAAAGGGCATGGCAGACAGGCATGCAAGAGAGGCATGAAAGAGACACATGGCAGAGAAGAATGGCAAGGAGGCATGCAAGGCGGCATGCACGGAGGCATGCATGGAGGCATGCAAGGGACTCCCTTAAAGGTGGGACATCCGTTGCACAGAGGGCGAAGAGGGCATGAAGCAGCCGAGGTGGGTAAGCTAGGCAAGTAAGGAGAAAGGGGGTGGACTTTGGTTGGCGTTGGGGGGTCTCACTGGTTGGCGTTGAAGGAGAAGCAGCGATCGACAAGGTTGGAGAACTCCCCGTGCGGCCCTGAGAGGCACACGGGGATGAGGGGCACACAGGGATGAGGGACACACAGGGATGAGGGACACATGGGGATGGGGGACACATGGGGATGGGGGGCACATGAAGGGGACGAGGGGGTGTGAAGGGGAAGAAAGAGCAAAACTTGGTGCTAAAAAACAAGAATGGTTGTAGAGCTATGTCATGTCCCCTCTGTTCCACTTCCTGAACCATCAGCGTCTTCGTGGGAGAACGCAGAACCAGCAGAAGCAATGCAGTTTCAGCGGGGGAAGGAGGGTGCGTGTGAGCAATGCAGGGTGCATGGAGGTGAGGTGTGAGGCACACCACATGTACTCACAGGTTGCACAAGATACCAACACACTTTCCACCACAAGATACCAACACACTTTCCACCACAAGATACCAACACACTTTCCACCACAAGATACCAACACACTTTCCACCACAAGATACCAACACACTTTCCACCACAAGATACCAACACACTTTCCACCACAAGATACCAACACACTTTCCACCACAAGATACCAACACACTTTCCACCACAAGCGCACCTCTCACAACCCTCATGCCCTCACGCCCTCACGCCCCTCAAGCCCTCATGCCCTTCATGCCCCCCACACCCTCATGCCCCCTCATGCCCCCCACGCCTCCCTCACCCACTGACACGCGTGACAACACAACTGACCATAGTCGCGCTTGAGCTTGTCCTTGAGCACCTTGGCCCGGCTCCTCGCCTTCCTCAGCTGCTCCTCCACCTCCCTGTGCTCCTCCCTCGCTGCCGCCACCCCTGGTGTTGTGTCATGGCGGTAAGGGCGTGCTCACCGCACACACACATGCACCCGTGCACGCACACACTCACACACACGCTCACGCACACACTCACGCACACACTCACACTCACACACACACACACACACTCACACACATACACACACACGCACGCACGCACACTCACGCACGCACGCACGCACACACTCACGCACACACGCACGCACGCACACACACACTCACGCACGCACACACGCAACGATGCATGCACGCATGCACTCACGCACACAGACACGCACACACGCGCGCATACACACACACACACACAGACACACACACACACACACATACACACACACACGGGGAATAAGAAGACAGAGTGAACAGAAGACGAGTGGATGAAGAGTTGGAAGCAAATGTGTGATGTGTTGAGATACAGAGAAGTAGTGGAGTGGGATGTGCATCTACTCTCAAAAGAGAAGTAGTGGACTGGGATGTGCATCAAGCACAGCAAACGTGCTGCACCCTCCACACTACTCACACAGTCAACAACGAAACGATGCTTCTCTTGTTTAAGTCGAAACCCACTCACGGAAACACAATTTGGCAAGGTGTGTATTGGTGCCATGTGCAGGGCAAGCCCTGCTGTCACGTGCTATCAGCCCTGCTGTCACGTGCTATCAGCCCTGCTGTCACGTGCTATCAGCCCTGCTGTCACGTGCTATCAGCCCTGCTGTCACGTGCTATCAGCCCTGCTGTCACGTGCTATCAGCCCTGCTGCCGTGCTGGCAGTGCTCGAGGGAGCACTCACGAGAGGCATTGAGGGTGAGCGGTGGTGTGGGGATGGCGAGGGAGTAGAGGCGCGCACACACCGCCACGGGCCAGCGGAGTGTGCGAGCCAACCAGACAATGACAGGTGTCACGGCTGGATGGGCAGCACAGGGGAATGGGATGAGAATGGTTGGGAAGGAGGCACATGCATGAGAATGGTTGGGAATAATAAAAACAGGAAAGTGAAGTGTTGGAATAGGCTGATCCTCATTTGCTTGTTTTTACCCTTTTAGGTTACAACTTTCCGAATGAGTTTCGTTTTGGTTGGGTGTAATTTTTTCATCCCCAACCTATCCAACCTTATCCGTCCAAAACCCCCACAATTTGGATTGATTATGCTCGGATTCTTCCTCATTGCACCTTATCCACCTCATCCCTCTCGCCAACTTGCACCCATAATCTGTTGTTAAGAAGCACGTGAGTGCATGCACGTACAACGAGAAACGTGCAGACTTGGCTATGTGTCACTGCATGAAATCGGCTTTTCTGGAATCAGCCCTTCATCGCCCCACGCAGTATCTCTTGTGGCCTGCATCTACCCATCTTACTTGCCTTATGTACCGTATCATCTCTCACCTGCCGTGTCATCTCAATCACCGTGTCATCTCACCCCCCGAGTGTCATGTCGTCTCACCCCGTGTCATCTCACCCACCATGTCATCTCACCCCCCGTGTCATCTCACCCACCGTGTCATCTCAAACACCGTGTCATCTCACCTGGCGGGTCATCTCGGTTGAACTCCTCTAGCTGCTTTAACTCCTCCACGCTCACCTCGCCCTCCTCCCCATCATCCTCCTCCACTCCCCCTCCATCCCCCCTTGCCCCTCCCTTGCCCTCATCCGCCTCCCCTCCCCCTCCCCCCATCTCTTGCTCCAGATCCGCTGCCTCCTCCTCCCCCTCATGCTCTGCATCCCCATCCCGATCCTCCTCCTCATCCTTGCTGTAGTCCTCATCCTCGTTATTAGCATCCTCCTTGTACTCATCGTCGTCATTGCCACTATAGTCATGGTCGTCGTCATGATCATGATCATGGTCACCGCTCTGCACCGCATCCGGATCACCATAGCCCAAATCAGGGGGTGGCGAGCCCTCGTCCTCCACACCTTGCTCTGCCGCATGCCCACTGTGCTCCTCGTGCTGCTGCCCTCCCTCCCCCCCCCCAGTCCATCGGGACGCAATCCGCCGCCCCATCTCCTCCTTGGACAGACCAGACAAATCCTCACTTCCTTCTTCCCCCTCGCCCCCTGCTGCACCCTCCTCTCCTTCACCTCTCTCCTCACTTCCTGTGCCCATCACAGCACTGTCCGCACCATCCCCACCAACTGCCCCAGCTGCCCCATCGGCTCCGTTCCACGACTCCTCTGCCTCTGCTGGCACCTTCCCGTCCCAAGTAACCGCACTCTCCCCACCGTCACCATCGCCGCCACCACTGTGAGCAGCAGCAGCAGCGGTTCTCACAGGGCGGGTGTGCGCCACAAGGGCGTCCCTGGCGCGCTGCTCCCTCTCCAACCTCGCCCTCCATGCCTTCTCCCTCCCCTCCTGCCGCTCCAACTCCTCCTTGCGCGCTGCACTCTCACATCGCAAGCATGCATGCACACAGCAGACATGCACGCATGCACATATGCACTCACGCACGCACGCACGCACGCACACACACATGCACGCACACTCACATGCGCACATACGCACACGAATGCACACGCACATGCAAACACATATAGCAGCAGCGGAGAGGTGTTGTGGGGAGTGTTGCAGATGTGTGCAGCAGTCGCATATTGACGATGGGAGTGAGTGGCATTCGATGGGGAATGAATGGGTGTGAGGGTGAATGAGTGTGTGTGAGTAGAAGACAGCAAAGAGCAAAGACAGCAAAGAGCACACGAGGAGGAGAAAGACTAGGACCATAACTTGAAAGAGGAGGGTTGGGGTGGAGGGGAGAGCGATGGGTGCGGAGGGCAGGGCAAGTGGGAAGACAATGGCAACGAGCAAGAGGAAAAGAGAGGACATGCGAGGCACAGACCAGGTAAACACAAAAGAGGGAGGTGCCAGTGTCAATCATAGTGGCCAAACAGGCTGAACTGAACTAGTTGAGATACAAGGTCATTTGGGACGAATCTACAAGGTGGCGATTCCGAGGCCATTGCATTGCAGGTGATGAGCAAACCAAGTTTCAGCTGAGCACATCCAGCTAGCAGAGGCGATTGTATTCCTATGCAGGTTGCTAGCTAGCTGGCTGTTATGGCACATGCACGTAAGTCATTCATGGCAGTGTCTGGTCTGCTCTCTCCCCCATTGGCCGATGCGCATTCTACTCGACGACACCGTGGGGCTGAGCAGCAGGGCAGCAGCAGCAGGCACGGGCGATGAAAGCATTGGCAGAGCTGGTGGCCCTGGCAGCAGCACGGCCATCACTGCAGCAGCTTAGAGTGCCGCCGCCCAGCATGGTGGTGGTGGTGCCGCCTGCGGCTGGCCGTGAGGGCGGCAAGGCAGGGGCAGAGCGAGGCCATGGTGCGGTAGCACAGGCGCAGGCAGGCGCAGGGGGGGGCGAGCACCAGCGCACGCAGGGGGCGGTGGCAGAGGAGGAGGGCGAGCAGGGCGAGGAGGAGCAGCGATGGCGGCAGGGAGGCCGAGGCAACGAGCGAGTGGATGTGTGCTGCCATGCCCCGCACGGTGGGTGGGGTAGTGGCATGGTGGCGGTGCCGAGTCGGCCAGCAGGACAGCGAGTGGGCGGCAACAGGATGGGCAAGCGGGCGGCAGGTTGGGCGGCAGATGGAGGCGATGCAGCGAGGCAGGCACGTTGCGTAGCCAAAGGCCAGGAAGAGATACGCACAGAAGGACAAACGGACAGGAAGAGATACGCACAGAAGGACAAACGGACAGGAAGAGATACGCACAGAAGGACAAACGGACAGGAAGAGATACGCACAGAAGGACAAACGGACAGGAAGAGATACGCACAGAAGGACAAACGGACAGGAAGAGATACGCACAGAAGGACAAACGGACAGGAAGAGATACGCACAGAAGGACAAACGGACAGGAAGAGATACGCACAGAAGGACAAACGGACAGGAAGAGATACGCACAGAAGGACAAACGGACAGGGGGTTGGGTTGGGGTGCGGGATGGGGAGGAGAAAGAGGTGGGGCAGGAGTGTACAAGAGGGCAGGCAGGTAGAATGAGGTCAAGCACGGTGAGGTGGTCAGGCGGGCACAGTGAGGTGGTCGGGGCACGGTGAGGTGGTCGGGCACGGTGAGGTGGTCGGGGCACGGTGAGGTGGTCGGAGCACGGTGAGGTGGTCGGGCACGGTGAGGTGGTCGGGGCACGGTGAGGTGGTCGGGCACGGTGAGGTGGTCGGGGCACGGTGAGGTGGTCGGGGCACGGTGAGGTGGTCGGGGCACGGTGAGGTGGTCGGGGCACGGTGAGGTGGTCGGGGCACGGTGAGGTGGTCGGGGCACGGTGAGCTGGTCGGGGCACGGTGAGGTGGTCGGGGCACGGTGAGGTGGTCGGGGCACGCATGCATGTGATGGGTGACCTGTGGTCGAGCAACGGCCATTCACCTTTGAGCGCCTTCTCCTGCTCCACCAGCTGTGCGCGCCGCTCCTCCAGCTCCGTGACCTCGCGCTCCCACTTCTCCCTTAGCGCCACGTGCCCCACCACCGCCTTGCCTCGCAGCTTCACGCCCTCCCTCACCGCCGCCACGTCAGCCGCCAGCTGGCTGCGCGTCTCGGCGCCCATCTGCACACACATGTTGTTGCAGCCCGCCCCGCTGGCGTACTCGTCCGACCCGTCACAGCAGTCTGATGGGCGCGGGGGAGGGAGGGAGGGCGGAGGGCGAGAGAGAGGGATGAGGGGGCGAGGCCACAGCATTGGTGGAGTGTGAGGTGAGGCATATGGGAGAGGCGAGGCATATGGGAGAGGCGAGGCACATGGGAGAGGAGAGGCATATGGGAGAGGCGAGGCATATGGGAGAGGCGAGGCATATGGGAGAGGCGAGGCATATGGGAGAGGCGAGGCATATGGGAGAGGCGAGGCATATGGGAGAGGCGAGGCATATGGGAGAGGCGAGGCATATGGGAGAGGCGAGGCATATGGGAGAGGCGAGGCATATGGGAGAGGCGAGGCACATGGGAGAGGCGAGGCACATGGGAGAGGCGAGGCAGATGGGAGAGGCGAGACATATGGGAGAGGCAAGGCATATGGGAGAGGCGAGGCATATGGGAGAGGCGAGGCATATGGGAGAGGCGAGGCATATGGGAGAGGCGAGGCATATGGGAGAGGCGAGGCATATGGGAGAGGCGAGGCATATGGGAGAGGCGAGGCATATGGGAGAGGCGAGGCATATGGGAGAGGCGAGGCATATGGGAGAGGCGAGGCATATGGGAGAGGCGAGGCATATGGGAGAGGCGAGGCATATGGGAGAGGCGAGGCATATGGGAGAGGCGAGGCATATGGGAGAGGCGAGGCATATGGGAGAGGCGAGGCATATGGGAGAGGCGAGGCATATGGGAGAGGCGAGGCATATGGGAGAGGCGAGGCATATGGGAGAGGCGAGGCATATGGGAGAGGCGAGGCATATGGGAGAGGTGAGGCATATGGGAGAGGCGAGGCATATGGGAGAGGCGAGGCATATGGGAGAGGCGAGGCATATGGGAGAGGCGAGGCATATGGGAGAGGCGAGGCATATGGGAGAGGCGAGGCATATGGGAGAGGCGAGGCATATGGGAGATGCGAGGCATATGGGAGAGGCGAGGCATATGGGAGAGGCGAGGCATATGGGAGAGGCGAGGCATATGGGAGAGGCGAGGCATATGGGAGAGGCGAGGCATATGGGAGAGGCGAGGCATATGGGAGAGGCGAGGCATATGGGAGAGGCGAGGCATATGGGAGAGGCGAGGCATATGGGAGAGGCGAGGCATATGGGAGAGGCGAGGCATATGGGAGAGGCGAGGCATATGGGAGAGGCGAGGCATATGGGAGAGGCGAGGCATATGGGAGAGGCGAGGCATATGGGAGAGGCGAGGCATATGGGAGAGGCGAGGCATATGGGAGGGGCGAGGCACATGGGAGAGGCGAGGCACATGGGAGAGGCGAGGCATATGGGAGAGGCGAGACATATGGGAGAGGCGAGGCATATGGGAGAGGCGAGGCATATGGGAGAGGCGAGGCATATGGGAGAGGCGAGACACATGGGTGAGGCGAGGCATATGGGAGAGGCGAGGCATATGGGAGAGGCGAGGCATATGGGAGAGGCGAGGCATATGGGAGAGGCGAGGCATATGGGAGAGGCGAGGCATATGGGAGAGGCGAGGCACATGGGAGAGGCGAGGCATATGGGAGAGGCGAGGCATATGGGAGAGGCGAGACATATGGGAGAGGCGAGACATATGGGAGAGGCGAGGCATATGGAGAGGCGAGACATATGGGAGAGGCGAGGCACATGGGAGAGGCGAGGCATATGGGAGAGGCGAGGCATATGGGAGAGGCGAGGCATATGGGAGAGGCGAGGCACATGGGAGAGGCGAGGCATATGGGAGAGGCGAGGCACATGGGAGAGGCGAGGCATATGGGAGAGGCGAGGCATATGGGAGAGGCGAGGCATATGGGAGAGGTGAGGCACATGGGAGAGGCGAGGCATATGGGAGAGGCGAGGCATATGGGAGAGGCGAGGCATATGGGAGAGGCGAGACATATGGGAGAGGCGAGACATATGGGAGAGGCGAGGCATATGGAGAGGCGAGACATATGGGAGAGGCGAGGCATATGGGAGAGGAGAGACATATGGGAGAGGCGGTGGGTGCAGTCAGTGACGCAGCCTCATGCTCTTGGCGCTCCCACACACCCCAACACATGCCCCTCGAGACATGCACTCAACCCACACGGCATCCAGCCAAGCCACAAAGGGCATCACTTCACAGCGGATGGATGAATGGAGACACAGCATCACAGCATGACAGTGCACTGACCGCAGATGCCGTCGTTGACTCGCGAGGAGAAGAGCGTGAGCGGCATGTGGCCGCGGTTGGCGCAGTAGAAGCGCGACAGGGCGCACGCTGACGTGCCTGCAGGGGGACCAAGGGTGCGGTGGAGACAAGGGCTCGTGGAGGGGGGTGGACGGAGTTGGAGCGGGTTAGGGGGAGGGAAGTGAAGGGAGGAGGGTAGAATGGACACACGTGCCAAGCCATGGTAACCTGGTAACCCGACCCACCCTCACCAGACCCCAGTGCGGAGGTGAGTTGCAACCCACCGGGCTCGTCGGTGCCGTCAGCGCAGTCACAGAAGTCGTCGTTCACTCGCTGCATCGCCACTGACCGCGACCCGTCGCGGCACCGCACCTCGCTGCCCGAGAAGTACGCCACGTCTGCCGCGCGTGAGGCGGGGCGCATGCGAGGCGGGGCGCGGCAGGGAGGATGGGCGCAGGGCAGGCGGACATGGAGAGGGAGGGAAAGGGCAGAAGCGGGGGGTGGGGGGAGTGGGGAGAGATGAGCGGAGCGACAAGCGGGTGGAAAGGGTGGGGGTAAGGGAGGCGAGCGACAGGCGGGAACAGCGCCGGGCGGCTGACGATTCGCCTCTCCACTCCGTACGATCCCCACTCATTCCGCCGCTTCGCTGTCGCTGCGGGCTAAACGGCTAAGTGGTTACACGGGCCTCGGCGCGCAGTGGGCGAGCGGACAGATGCGCGCGACGCAAGCTGCAGCGACATTCACGTTCAACTACGCCCGCGCTCGCTCGCCCGCTCGCTCGCGCGCGCTCCTGCGGGTTGGACGGCAGCGTGCGCTGGACTTGTGAGTCATCTTGGACCATGACCGCAGCGCGATGGGCTTGCCTTGAGGGGCGACACCGCGAATTGACAGAGCGGCCGCGAGCGAGCCGATTGCGAACAACACCAATGCGACGACTGCGATGGCGAGTGCTTGCGGGAAGCAGGCGAGCGACCTTCGCGATGCGCGAAGCAGTGCCATCGGGAACAATGTGAAGAGCACCGCCGCGAATTGTGGCGGTCAGTAGAAGTCTTGAAATTGAGATAGAGGTGACAATCTGGTCGTGCTGACCAGTCTGGCTGGCCTGCGCAGCTCTCAGAGCGGTGATGGGATCATGGGTGACAGCTGGAAGGATGCGCAGAGAAAGCTCGCAGGGCAGAGCAGAAGCTGTTTGCGGGGGACAGACCGGATGGCGGTGGATGTGGTGGAAGCGGAATTGTCACCCAAACTACACCAAACTCAGAAGTTTTCATCTGCACCTTTGTTGTTAAAGAAGAGTATGCACACAATGCAATAACACGGAAGTGAGTACAACTAGCACAGATATAGCGAAAGGCTAGCTAGGTGGAGTCCGCGGGATCGCGAAGGTTGGGTGCTGGTTCCGGGTTGTCAAACCCAAAGGCTGTTGGAAACAATAACTTAAACGCTTCTGAAGTATCGAACTATCAACACGAAACGAAGCAGACTACAGTGAAGCAACACGAGTCAACAGAAGCAACCGCTGGAGGTTACGCGAAGGTCAAAGGTCGCTGACCTTTGACTTGACGAAAAGTACAGTGCGACAGCAAGGACACATAACTGACTCGATACTGAGCAGTTACCCGAGTCGGCACTGTATCGAACCGCAACAGCAGAAAAACAGTTAAAGTACCGTAGAACTTTTCGTATTCCTTTGCAATCATATAAAAACCTTGTATTTCTCTGTTATTATTAACTTATCTTGTTCTCACACACCAGTACAAGGTGGTTCAAGTAACTCTTATATTAACGCTTCCGCAATTACAAACATCTCTACTTCAACACTGATCTTAGCCTTGAAAGATCCCAAGGGCTTTTCTCAGCCCAACATGGTATGACAGCAGGAAGGGCAAGATCATCTTCTTAAAATACCTACAACAACGCAAGACATGGCAACACAAAAGGAGAGGAGCTCCTCCAATGGATCTCTCGGCACCACCCCTACTCCACCTCCATCCTCTGGCCTACAGACAGAAGAAGGCACAGCAACAAGACCAGCTGCAGAGTCAACGGAAACTCCCGAGAACCAAGCAGCAAGCTTCGACCCAAGTATGATGGAGAATTTTTTCTCCTTCATATCTTTCTACGAGCAACACCAGCAAGCAGCTCCTGCGCAATCAAACAACTGCGACAACAACAACAGAGCAACACCGATGAGTCTTGACGGTTCATCCTACGCGCGCGGAAATCAACAACAACCCACCTTTGCGCCGTACGAGCCTCAACGCGGCTCCATGAGTTTCGCGCCGCAACCGTAGTCTTTACCTAGACAAGAGAAGACACTGGACGCGCTTCAGGTGCAATCGCGATTCGCACACGTTCTAAAACTTCAAACGTCAACTCTTTTCGACGGAAAGGACTTTTATACCTGGTCATTTGAATTTGAGCTGATGATGGAGGGCGCGCAAATTCTCGGATTCTTCGACGGGTCCCTGCCATATCCAGCACACGGGACACAGTACGACAAGCAGCAGTATACGTATCAGTCGCTGATGGCGTACACGATAATCCTTCGAAATTTAACACCAAACGAGCAGCAGAACATTCGGTCTTATCGAGGATACGACAACTCCGCCGAGCTGGCGTACGACCACCTGAAGAGCCTGTATCAAGCAACAGACAGTGTTAACCAGAGTCGTCTCATGGCACAGTTGACAACAGTGGAAATGAAACCCGGCGAAAAGGGAATGGCTTATATTAGCCGTTGTCGCGGATTGCGCGACAGACTCCTTCGATGCGGAGGATCAATATCCGAAGAAGCTTTTGTAACAGTCATCATCGCTGGCCTTGGTCCTCATTGGCGCTCCACTCGAGCACTCCTTCGAGCTCACGGGAAGATCTTCGAAGCAGCACTCTGCGCCGAAATTCACCCTGAACAGCAGGATATGGACCTGCACGAAGAACGACACAAGAAGAAAGCGTCAGCACCATAATTCGCCTTTCACACTCAACGACGCTACAACAACAACACCAACCGACACAACAACCGACAAGTACAACAGTACGTCCCACCGTTCTGTCATCTTTGCAAGACGTCCGGACATCCGCGCACACACTGTCCGAATCAGCAGCAGTCGACAACACCGTCCCTCGTCATTGATCCAACTAGTTGGGGGCTATCGACGTGGATAGAATCTATCGCCACAGCGTCAACTTCGGCCTTCAAGCAGTGAAGTACAGCCTTCAACATCTTCAACAACACAACCTGCACAAGGAACAAGAAACATCGTAAGCTACATGACAAGAACGTCAGACTCCTGCATCACCGGATCACCACCCCACTACTCACCAGAAGAACAGCTCGATGAGAGGACTCCTCGCCGCGAATCACTGGAGCCCAATCCGACGTATGCAGCCATCGCCCAAAGCGAGCCGTCCGGGCAAGACACTTGGTTCTTGGACAGTTGCTGCGGACAGCACATGTGCTCCTCGAGTCGCTTCGTTCAACAAGAACATCAACTTCAGCGCGAAGTTGTCATCACCGTGGCCAACAACCAGAACCTGCACACACGACGACAAGGGATAGTACAACTTCAGTCTCGAGAAACTAACGTCATCTTACAAATGTCTAAAGTTTTGATTGCAGAAGGAATCGGCTACAACCTACTAAGCGTCAGCCAACTGATGGCGAAGGGTATTCATCTTGAAGCGGACAGCACCACTCAGGAGTTCAAGTTATTCCACGGTAAAGGAGGACTCTACATCGGCAGAGCAGTCTTGAAGAACAACGTCTTCGTTCTTGACTTTGTACCGAACCAAGGAACCGCCGACAGCGACGCCATCGTCAACTTTGCCTCTTGGACACATCCACCCAACCTCGATCCCAACTTCAGTCCTGGAGGATTTTGGTATTCACATACCATACCTGAAGCAGAAAGAACACGGGCATTAGCAACAATCCGACAAGAAGAAACGACATCAACAGCAACGGAGACAACATCAACAGCAGCAGCAACACTTACGGCACCAATCGCGGGATCTTCAACGACACCGGTTCTCACCGATGACACTCCACCGACCCCTGTGCAGCAGTTAACTCCCACTCCATGAGAAGTTCTCAGAATCGCCAATCTCACCGCGGGATTTTACTCCAACTCCAACCTGTAGAGACGCTCACCCGGACATCGTGCGAGCGAATCCCTGTAGCACGAAAGACTGGGTCATCCAAGCAACACCACGTTAAACAATAAAATCAAGGCAGCAGTACTCGACAAAGATTCACTCCTTCTACCCGACGGCAGAGAACTCCAACGAGTCCGCAGAACATGCTTTACCTGTCCCAAAGCCGACCTACCCCATCAACCGTTCGTCTCTCACCACAATCCAAGCGCGCCAGCCTATGCACCACTCGAGAAAGTATACAGCGACATCCTGTATACTCGTGAACAAGGACAAGGAGCATATAATTACGTGATTACTTTCATCGACGCCGCCACCGGTTACGTCTGGCATCTTAATCTCCCAAGTCGCGACATGGCCTTCGAAGCTTTCGTCGCCTGGCTACCTGTGGCAGAACAAGAATCAGGAGCAAAGCTGAAAAGCTTCCAGTCTGACGGAGGAGGGGAATATCAATCCCAGAGGTTCAAGCAGTACCTCGCAGAACGAGGCATCAAGCGACTCATCTCGCTTCCCTACGCCCATCAACAGCATGGCGTGGTAGAACGGATGAACAGAAATCTCCAGAACACCATGCGCAAACTGTTGCGTGGCATGCGACTACCCAATCACCAGTGGCCTGGGGCGATGGACCACGTTGTCATGCTGCACAACTTGCTCTCGTTGTCATCACTCCCGAACAACGCATCACCGCACCTGCTGTGGACAGGAAAACTGGGCAACACAAAAATGTTACGAGTTTTCGGGTGCATGGTACAGTACCGCCCGCACACTGCAAGAGCCGGAAGATTTTCTCAACGCGCACAGTGGGGACTACACCTGGGCATAAAAAAACATTACAACGCATGGAAAATTTTTTACGTCCACTCGAAGGAAACAGTAGCAGCACGTGATGTCATCTTCTACGAGCGACTCACACTTCAAACGTACCTGGACAACCTGGCAGCAAATCGGGACCTCACGGGCGGCTTCTGTGGCAACCGAGCCTTTGCTTCAGCAGCAGACGAAGCTGACTGGGATGAGAAAAACGTGGACAACGCATCCGAGGAAGCAGGACCACTCCCATACTGCTCCGTGCCCATCCCGGTGGATGACGAAAATCCTCGCGAAAGTGTCAACGCCGAAACTTACTTCGACTTCGCTGACATCGGTTACGTTACACCCCAACCGGTCGACACCAACATCTCCGAACGCATAGGACCGAATTTCTTACCAGACCCTGAAGCAGAAGACAAAGCAGCTTATCCAGAGGACACAAATCTCCCTCGCTACACACAGAGTGGCCTGCAGATACTGGGACTCGTCACCGCTGTCCACGGAGCAACACCACCTAAGGAGCCTGCCACCATTCAGCAGGCTCTGGGGGGGGAACACAGGGAAAAATGGTGCGAGGCCATGGACAGAGAGTTAAAGGCGCTACAAGAACGCAACACCTGGAAAGTCGTACCTATCGGAGTGGCACACAACAAGACCATCCTCACGGGAAAATGGGTTTTCCGCGTGAAAACAAAAGCCGACGGAACAATAGACAAATTCAAAGGACGCTGGGTTGTGCGTGGCTTCGACCAAGAGCAAGGGCGAGACTTCATGGAAACATTCGCCCCAGTAAGCCGACATACCACACTGCGGATTCTCCTCGCGATAGCCGCCATGAACCGGAAGAACCTTCGGCAAATCGATGTATGGGATCAAGCAAGCCCCGAGACTGTGGCAGCAGCACCTTCACGCCACCTAATCCGCATCGGATTCCTTCAACTACCACACGACCAAGGGATGTATCGACCGACGAAGGGTACCGACTATATTCTACTCATCGTCTACGTCGACGACCTCCTCTACATAGGCTCCACCGACGCCACAACATGGTTTGAAGGGGAGCTGCAGCGGGATCTCACTCTCACCATCGCAACTACCGTGATACAGTACCTGGGACTGAACATCCAAGACGACGACAATGCAATCTACCTCAGCGCTGAAAATTACACGGACACTATCGCTAAACGTTTCAGACTCACTCCAACCGTCATCTCCACGCCATACCGCTACACCGACGGAAATCGAAAAGCCTCCGCTCTACTCAAACCTGCCGGCATCCGCGACTACCAACGAAATTTAGGCTGCCTACTCTTCGCAGTCGTCACCTGCCGACCGGATCTATCCTACTCAGCTAGCCAACTCGCTACCTACCTCAAAAAGCCTGAAGCAGAGCACATGCTCGAACTCGATCGAGCACTTCACTACCTCGTCAGCACTCCGACGATCGGACTAACCTACCACAAGACCGGACCTACGACACCTAAGCTAATCGGTTACGTCGACGCCGATCACGCTGGAGACCCCGACAACAGACGATCTCGAACTGGCTACATCTACAGACTCGAACCTATCGGGCCTATCTCATGGCAGTCGATCAAGCAATAGCTAATCGCCCTCTCCTCAGCAGAAGCAGAATATATCGCACTCTGCTCAGCCACCAAGGAAGGACTATATCATTGCGAATTACTGGAAGAAGCAAAGTTGGCTCAGTTACCCAGCTTTTCCCTCTTCTGCGACAACCAATCGGCCATTCGCATAGCGAACAAGAATGGGTTCGCGAATCAAACGAAGCACATCGCCCTCCGGTACTTCTTCGTAAAAGACGAAATCGAGAAGGGAAGACTCGAGCTATCCTACTGTCCCACATCCGAGATGGCAGCAGATTACTTGACCAAGAAACTCGGAAAACAGAAGTTCGAGTACTACATGCTGCTGACTGGGCAAGGACATGTCATCAGCAGCGACACTCCAGACTCGAACCTATCGGGCCTATCTCATGGCAGTCGATCAAGCAATAGCTAATCGCTCTCTCCTCAGCAGAAGCAGAATATATCGCACTCTGCTCAGCCACCAAGGAAGGACTATATCATTGCGAATTACTGGAAGAAGCAAAGTTGGCTCAGTTACCCAGCTTTTCCCTCTTCTGCGACAACCAATCGGCCATTCGCATAGCGAACAAGAATGGGTTCGCGAATCGAACGAAGCACATTGCCCTCCGGTACTTCTTCGTAAAAGACGAAATCGAGAAGGGAAGACTCGAGCTATCCTACTGTCCCACATCCGAGATGGCAGCAGATTACTTGACCAAGAAACTCGGAAAACAGAAGTTCGAGTACTACATGCTGCTGACTGGGCAAGGACACGTCATCAGCAGCGACACTCCAGAAGCAAAGGGGAGTGTTGGAAACAATAACTTAAACGCTTCTGAAGTATCGAACTATCGACACGAAACGAAGCAGACTACACTGAAGCAACACGAGTCAACAGAAGCAATCGCTGGAGGTTACGCGAAGGTCAAAGGTCGCTGACCTTTGACTTGACGAAAAGTAAAGTGCGACAGCAAGGACACATAACTGACTCGATACTGAGCAGTTACCCGAGTCGGCACTGTATCGAACCGCAACAGCAGAAAAACAGTTAAAGTAGAACTTTTCGTATTCCTTTGTAATCATATAAAAACCTTGTATTTCTCTGTTATTATTAACTTATCTTGTTCTCACACACTAGTACAAGGTGGTTCAAGTAACTCTTATATTAACGCTTCCGCAATTACAAACATCTCTACTTCAACACTGATCTTAGCCTTGGAAGATCCCAAGGACTTTTCTCAGCCCAACAAAGGCGACGTGAGGGACGTTGGCGAAGTCGTCGCTCCGAGCCTTGTCTTCCGAAAGTTGGGATGTATGCGTATGAAGTGACCTAATAAGCAATTAGGAAAAAAAAATCCTTACACTATCCCCTCTTTTTAAAAAGGTGGTCAATATCGGGCACGCGGCGGCAAGAGAGATAGCCCTGTGATACCAAGTGACATGCAGCGAGCTGGGGGTGACGCACGTGTCATCTTCGCTCATACGATCTGCCCATTGGAGGAGGAAATCGACATGGCATCCCATTGTCGTTAGGCGCACGCGATGGTTGAATATCTTCCGCAGCTAAAGTGTCGTTTCTGTCACAGGCCGATCACTTGGCGCGAGATCGAGGCGGGCGATATCGGACGACTGAGGTGAGACGAAATGTCACAGGAGACTGACGTGGAATGTGTTGTGAAATGTGTTAGCATCTTAACGAAATGAAAAGGTCCCACGGATCTGGGACAGAGCTGTCAAACTTATATATGCTATAGTCTGTTTAGGCTGTAGTGGGGTAGTTCTTAGAGGGTACAACACTTTTGTGTTTCATACTTGTACCCACCTGCTGCCTAGTTCAATCATCCTTCTCGTTGATTCTCACATGGTATAGAGCAGGTTCCCTAGTGGGACTGTTTCTTCCTAAGGGCCCACCACGTTTATTTTTTATTTTACCTGCCCGAAGCGCGCTTCGCGCACTGCCCTGACCTACACCTTCGCGGCCCCTACGCGGCCCCTTAGCGGCCCCTTCGCGGCCCCTTAGTGGCCCCTTCGCGGCCCCCTAAGGCCCCTTCGCGGCCCCCCTAGCGACCCCTTCGCGGCCCCTTCACGGCCCCTTAGCGGCCCCTTCGCGGCCCCCTATCGGCCCCTTATCGGCCCCTTCGCGGCCCCCCCCTAGCGGCCCCTTCACGACCCTTTAGCGGCCCCCTAACGGCCCCTTCGCGCCCCCCCCCTACGGCCCCTTCGCGGCCGCTTATCGGCCCCTTCGCGGCCCCGTAACGGCCCCTTTTCGGCCTCTTCGCGGCCCCTCCGTGGCCCCTACGCGGCGTCGCCCCTGCTAGCGGCGTCGCCCCTGCCCGCGGCGTCGCCCCTGCTAAGGGCGTCGCCCCTGCCCGCGGCGTCGCCCCAGCCCACGGCGTCGCCCCAGCCCGCGGCGTCGCCCCTGCCCACGGCGTCGCCCCTGCTCGCGGTGTCGCCCCTGCTCGCGACGTCGCCCCCTGCCTGCGGCCTCTCCCATGCTGAAGTGGCCCCTCCTGCCGCAGCCCCTGCTGACGCGGCACCTGCAGTCGCGGCCCCTCCCCTGCTGGCGCGACACCTGCTCCTGTGGCCCCTGCTGTCAAGGCCCGGCCCCGCACCCGCTCCTGGTAAGCACCCGAGCCGCCCCGCCGAGCCGCGCCGCCCGGCCGAGCCGCGCCACCCAGCCGAGCCGCGTCGCCCAGCCGAGCCGCGCCGCCCAGCCGAGCCGCGCCACTCAGCAGAGCCGCGCCGCCCCCACTGAACCGCACTGCCCTACTGAGCAGCACTGCCTTGCACTGCCCTGCTGCTATTGTTTCTACTGCTGCTACTGCTGCTACTCTTGCTACTGCTCCTACTGCTGCTATGGCTAGTCCTACCGTTCTCACCTTTGATGCTGAGGGACGTGCAGTTGATTTTGACGTGTGGGTTGACGACCTACAGCTCTTCCTTCAGTGTGATTCTAGGGATGGGGTGTCCCTCTTCGATCACACGTCCGGTGTTTCCACTGCTCCTGCAGCCACTGCTGACAGTACTGTTCGCTCGCAGTGGACCACTCGTGACGCTGTTGCTCGTCTTGCTGTTCGTAGTCACCTACCGCCTGCTGAGCGCGCACACTTTGGCCAGTACAAGACTGCTCAGTCCTTGTACGACGTTGTAGTTGCGCGCTCCTCCCCTGCCACTGCTGCCCTCAGCCGCCTCATGCTACCGTACCTTTTCCCTGACCTTGCTGCCTTTGCCACTGTCGCTGACCTAGTTGCTCACCTTCGCACTAGTGACGCCCGCTACCGCGCTGCCCTTCCCACTGAGTTCTGTGCCAAGAACCCCCCCCCATGTACATCACCCTTTACTACCTAGTCACCCGCCTCCCTGACTCTCTCTCTTCAGTCAGGGAGCACTTTCTCTCCCTTTGCCCCACCGAGCTGACTGTCGACCTGCTAGAGGAGCGCCTTGCTGCAGCTGAGAAGAGTATCTTAGCTGTAGGTGCTTCTCGCGACGACCGTCACACCCCTTCTTTGAGGGGTGTTCCCCTGTCCCCCTTCTCCCCTCTGTTGCTTCTGCTGCTGCTGTCGACCTCGTTGGCACTGAGGAGGTCGGCGCTGCGTCTGCCTCTAGTGGGAGACGCCGCATCAGCAAGGGCAAGGGGAGCAAGGGTGGTGGAGGGGGCGGCGGTGGAGGTGGTGGAGGCGGCGGAGGAGGTGGAAGTGGTGGTGGGGGTGGTACCGGGAGTGGGGGCGTCGGTGGCGGCGGTGGCGGAGGAGGTGGAGGCAGCGGCAGCGGTGGTGGAGGTAGCGGAGGAGGTGGTGCTGGTCGAGGTGCAGCCGCGCAGCGTGGAGGCTTTGGTGGCGGCCAGCGCCAGCAGCAGCTACGCACCCGTGAGGCCCCGTCGGTTCAGCAGCTTCGTGAGTGGTACGCTGGGCGTGGGAGGTCTGGGGGTGCAGGTCCCTGCACTTACGTTCTTCGCACCGGCACTCGTAGTGGGGAGGTGTGTGGGCTCCCACACACCACGCAGCGCTGCTTCGGTCGCTTGACTGACGTTTGGCGTACCCAATTTCTTGACGCCGTTGACCTTCCTCGTTGGCATGATCTGCTTCTGCAGAATGTGCCTATCTTTGATCTAGACTTTGATGCTATCCTTGCTGCCATGTATGCTCTTGCTGATAGTGCTGAGGGTGACTGTTACCTGAGTGTCTCGCCCGACCCGGGCATTGCGGCTGCTGCTCTAGGTGCTAGTGCGTCTGCTGCTCCAGGTACTGGTGCGTCTGCTGCTCCAGGTGCTGGTGCGTTTGCTCTCTTTGGTACTGCACCTACTGAGTCCTTACACACTTTCACACTTGACTCTGGTGCTTCGCGCTCTTTCTTTAGAGACAGCACCACGCTCACGCCGCTCAGTCGGCCTGTTGCGGTCTCCCTTGCTGACCCCTCCGGGGGCCCAGTCCTTGCACACTCCTCCACGGTTCTACCGTGTCCTGCGGCCCTGTCGGGCTTGCTGTCGGGACTCCACCTCCCCTCATTCTCTACGAACTTGGTGAGTGGAGCTGACCTCCAGGACGCGTGGGTTGACCAGTTCACCCCTAGTGGTCAGCGTGTGACCCACTGCACTTGCTCTCGGACGGGCCGCCACCTGGCCACGTTCACCCGTCGGCTAGGGTCGAGTCTGTACACACTGACTAATGCGCCTCCTCCGGTCCCTGCGTCTGGTCAGGTAGCTGCGTCCAGTCAGGTGTTAGCTGCCGCGTCCAGGTCTAGTCCTGCGTCTGCCCCCTGCTCATGTCGTCCTCTGGCGCACGAGACTCTCCTTTGGCACCACCGCCTTGGTCACCCCTCCCTGCCTCGTCTTCGAGGTATGGCCTCCCGTGCTCTTGTCTCTGGACTCCCCAGGTCCCTCCCTCCCCTTCCTCCGGGGCCTGCCCCCACCTGTGTTCCTTGTGTCGAGGGCCGGTAGCGCGCCACTCCTCACTCCTCCTCGTTTCCTCCGACTGAGGCCCCTCTGCAGAATCTTCACACGGACGTGTGGGGCCCAGCCCGCGCCCGTGGACAGGGTCACGAGCGTTACTTCCTGCTGGTCGTTGACGACTACTCGCGTTACACCACAGTCTTCCCCTTGCGCAGCAAGGGTGAGGTCCCTGAGGTGTTGATCGACTGGATCCGCGGTGCTCGTCGCCAGCTTAGTGAGAGTTTCGGCTCAGACCTTCCTGTTGTGCGTCTGCACTCAGACAGAGGCGGGGAGTTTTCCTCCGACCTCCTGAGAGCCTTCTGTCGTTCTGAGGGCATCCGCCAGACGTTCACGCTTCCGGCCTCCCCGCAGCAAAATGGGATTGCTGAGCGCCGCATTGGCATGGTCATGGACGTCGCTCGTACGTCCATGATCCATGCGGCTGCTCCCCATTTTCTGTGGCCGTTCGCGGTTCAGTACGCTGCGCATCAGATCAACCTTCAGCCTCGTGTCTCCTTGCCGGAGACCACACCTACTCTGCGGTGGACGGGGAAGGTTGGCGATGCGTCCGCGTTCCGTGTCTGGGGATCTCGAGCTTTTGTCCGCGATACTACAGCGGACAAGCTGTCCTCCCGTGCCGTTCCCTGTGTCTTCCTTGGCTTCCCTCCTGACGCACCCGGGTGGCAGTTCTACCACCCCACCTCGCGTCGTGTTCTGTCCTCTCAGGACGTCACGTTTGACGAGTCGGTGTCGTACTACCATCTTTTTCCCTACCGCACTGCCTCTCCCCCCCCCCCCGCCGCTCTTCCTCGCACCAGGTACTCCCCCGGTTGACCCCCTCCCCCCCCAGGGTCCTGCCCCCTCAGGTGTGTCCCAGGTAGACCCTGCCGAGCCGGTCGAGGTAGCAGTCGACTCAGGTGCTGAGTTTGGGGGTGCTGAGCCTGCGGGTGCGGGGACTGGGGGTGCTGAGTCTGGGGGTGCTGAGTCCGGGCGTGTGGAGCCTGCGGGTGCTGTGTCTGGGGGTGCTGAGCCTGCGCGTGCTGCGTCTGGAGGTGCTCTAGGTGTCCCGTCGCGGCGGGAGCCTCTCTCTCCACAGCAGCTTCGTGAGTGGTACTCTCCGCGCTGTCGGGGTGCTGTTGGAGCTTCTGGAGGTGCTGCTGGTGCTGGTGCTACTGGAGGTGCTGCTGGTGCTGGAGGTGCTGCTGGTTCTGGTGCTGCTAGAGCTTCTGGCGGTGCTGCTGGTGCTGGTGCTGCTGGAGGTGCTGCTGGTGCTGGAGGTGCTGCTGGAGCTTCTGGAGGTGCTGCTGGTGCTGGTGCTGCTGGAGGTGCTGCTGGTGCTGGTGGTGCTGCTGGTTCTGGTGCTGCTGGAGCTTCTGGCGGTGCTGCTGGTGCTGGTGCTGCTGGAGGTGCTGCTGGTGCTGGAGGTGCTGCTGGTTCTGGTGCTGCTGGTGCTGGAGGTGCTGCTGGAGCTTCTGGAGGTGCTGCTGGTGCTGGAGCTGCTGGAGGTGGTGCTGGTGCTGGAGCTGCTGGAGGTGCTGCTGGTGCTGGAGCTGCTGGAGGTGCTGCTGGGACTGGAGACCCTGGGGCTGAGGGTCCTGGTTCTGCACCTGCTGTTTCTGGAGGCGCTGTGCGGCCGCGGCCGTACTACGTTCCGCTCCTTCAGCAGGTTCTTGGCCTCCCGCCTTCTCCTGGTCCTCCTCCTTCTTTACTGAGTCCACCGCCTGTCCTGTCCCAGTCGCGGTTCCAGCCGGCCTCTCCGCTGCCTGGTCCTTCTCCTTACTCTGGACCGACTAGAGGTCTTACGGAGCGTCGTGAGCCTGCATCTCGTCCTGTGTCGCCTGCGTCTCGTTCTGCGTCGCCTGTCCGTCCTGTTCGCGCTGGTCGTGTTTCGCGTCCGCGTCCTCGTCCTGTCCCTGGCACTCACTCTATGACTCTGCATCCTTCCACTGCTCCGCAGCGTGTCCCTCTACCGTCTCCTCCTGCGTCCTCTCTTCCTGTCGGTCCGGACCCGGAGTCTGACTCCCTTCGTGCTGCTAGTCCTACAGTCACGCGCTTTCTGGCCACTGCTGTCACTGACCCTTTGTTTGAGTCCACTACTGCGTCTGCTCTTGTTACTGAGCTTGTTGACTTTGCTGCAGCCTGTCGCCTAGACTACGCCGCTAGTCTTGTTACTAAGTCTGCGTCTGTGTCTGTCTGTCCTCCGTCCGTTGGGGGTGAGTGTGCTCTTGGCACGGACGTTCTTGAGGACAGACAGGAGGAGTTTGAGTGCTTTGCTGCTTCTGTACCTCATCTCTTGTCCATGCTGCTTGCCCCTGAGGGAGACCTGGATGCACCAGACATCCCGACCCCGCGCTCTTACGCAGAGGCGATAGAGGGTCCTTACTCCTCTCAGTGGCAGGCAGCCATGGACGCCGAGATGGCTTCCTGGAAGTCCACAGGCACCTACGTCGACGAGGTTCCCCCGCCTGGGGCGAACATTGTCAGTGGTATGTGGATCTTCAGGGTGAAGCGGCCGCCGGGTTCTCCGCCTGTCTTCAACGCGCGTTACGTTGCACGTGGCTTCAGTCAGCGACAGGGAGTTGACTTCTTTCAGACCTTCTCCCCTACCCCGAAGATGACCACTCTTCGGGTTCTGCTGCACGTAGCTGCTCAGCGTGACTACGAGCTCCACTCGCTTGACTTCAGCACATCCTTCCTACAGGGCAGCCTGCACGAGGAGATCTGGCTGCGCCGCCCACCTGGCTTCACTGGGTCGTTTCCAGCTGGTACCCAGTGGAGCCTCCGGCGGCCAGTCTACGGTCTCCGCCAGGCACCTCGTGAGTGGCACGACACACTCAGGACGACTCTTGCTGCTCTTGGTTTTGTTCCTTCCACTTCTGACCCTTCTCTGTTCTTACGCACTGACACTACTCTGCCTCCGTTCTACGTTCTTGTGTACGTAGACGACCTAGTCTTGGCTACTGCTGACACTGAGGCACTCGCCCACGTAAAGTCCGAGCTGCAGAAGAGACACACGTGCACAGACCTGGGTGAGCTCACAAGCTATCTTGGCTTGCGGATCACCCGGGACAGAGCACAGCGCACCATTACCTTGACTCAGTCACACATGGTGCAGCAGGTCCTTCAGCGCTTCGGCTTCACATACTCCTCGCCACAGTCCACTCCTCTGCCTATAGGTCACTCGCTCTCAGCTCCACCTTCGGACGAGTCCGTAGAGCCGAGTGGCCCGTATCCAGAGCTTGTGGGCTGCCTCATGTACCTGATGACTTGCACTCGACCTGACCTCGCATACCCTCTCAGCCTTCTGGCTCGCTACGTGGCTCCCGGCAGGCACCGAAAGGTGCACTGGGATGCTGTGAAGAGGGTGTTGCGCTACTTGTGCAGTACATCGGGCATGGGGCTCGTGCTTGGAGGACGGGCTCGAGTTGTCCTCACTGGTCACGCTGACGCCTCCTGGGTTGACGACTTGGCTACGCAGCGGTCGTCACAGGGTTACACCTTCAGTCTTGGCTCCGGTTCTGTCTCTTGGCGGTCTACCCGTTCTTCTTCTGTTCTCAGCTCCAGTTGTGAGGCTGAGATCTACGCTGGGGCCATGGCTGCACAGGAGCTACGCTGGCTCACCTACCTGCTGACCGACTTGGGAGAGGCGCCTCGTTCTCCTCCAGTTCTGTACGTCGACAACAAGGCCATGCTGGCTTTGTGTCAGGAGCACAGACTGGAGCACAGAATGAAGCACATTGCTCTGCGCTACTTCCTTGCTCGAGAGTTGCAGCAGCGTGGCCAGCTTCGTCTTGCTTACGTGGCCTCTCAGGCCAACACTGCTGATGTTTTCACCAAGGCACTTCAGCCTTGTGATCATCAGCGTTTCTGTACTGTGCTAGGCCTTGTACCTACTGTGCCTCACTTGCTGACTTCTTGTCTTTGCTAGTACTGTACTGTATATACATATACCTGCATGCTTACACTTGCTAGGTTGTGTTCACTGTATTGTTTGCTTTCCTTTATATAACTCTGCATGTGAATTGGCCTTGTGGCCCTTTGCTTGTGCTCAGACTGCGTGGTGACTTTGTGATCCACCCTGAGCTTGCTTTGTCTTTCTTTACTGGCCTTGTGACCTCTTGCTCTCCCCCACTTTGCCTATGGGGGTGTGTCAAACTTATATATGCTATAGTTTGTTTAGGCTGTAGTGGGGTAGTTCTTAGAGGGTACAACACTTTTTTGTTTCATACTTGTACCCACTTGCTGCCTAGTTCAATCATCCTTCTTGTTGATTCTCACAAGAGCTTCGCTGGCTGGGGCAGCCGGAGTTTTTTCGTGTCTAAAAGGACCAGTTGCCATTGTTTTAAAGCGAAAATACCTTCCGAATTTATTAGCTTTATTAGCTTCGCCTTGCAAATAAACTCGACTTGAAGTTTTGTGACAAACTGCTGAGAGCAAAGAACCGGATGAGGGTACCACTGGATCTGCCCCGTAATCGAGGTAAAACCGGAATTGATTGGTCGTTGTCGAAGGTGCGTTGTTATACGAAAAAATCTAGCATCGGGATTGAGTCTTTCCACTTGGACAAGTCGGGGCAGTTAATGCGGATCAGATGCTCAGTGGACTGATTTGTCCGTTCTGTTTGGCCATTGCTTTGCGGGTGGTATGACAACAAAAACTGCAGGCATGTGCCATACTATGCCCACATCTCCTGCCAGAACTTCGACATGAATTTCGGGTCTCGATCGCTGATGATCACCCAAGGTCACCCGTGTAGGCGAACAACGGTGGAGATGATCGTCGTGCAGCATGGTGCGAGATGTGCCATTTTCTTAAGCGGTCAACGACGACCAGCATTGAGTCGTTTCCACTTGCGCCAGCTAGCAGTCCCATAAGGAAATCGATCGATAATTGTTGCCACGCTCATTCGAGTGGCTCGAGGGGCTGCAGCAATCCAGCTGGCCATACATGATCGGTGCTGTACCCGAGGATGGTTCCAATAATAGTGGGTTGGATTGGGTGATGATTATTGCGGCGGTCAGCATCGATGGTCAGGTCAGGGCGTCGGCGATGTTGTGGGCACCCCTTTTGTACATGATGAGGAAGCGAAAGTTGGAAACTCCTTGATATCCTACAATCTGATTTGTTGCGAGTTGAGTTGCGGCTGGGCTCGCATGTACTCTAATGACTTGTGGTCTGTCCAAATCGCCATGTTGACTCCTGACAGGTAGCAGCGCAAGGTACGAAGTGCATGGACAATGGCCGGAATCTCTCTGTTGTGAACTTGGTAGTTGCGCACGAGTAGGTTCATTTTGCGTGACTCATTAGCGATGGGTTGCAGCCCTTTGCCGAAATCCTGTAGAACGACAGTGCCTATGGCGAAATCACTGGCGTCTGTTACGACATCGAACGATTGAGATGGGTCTGCGAGCCGAAGTGCCGAGGGTGAGCTCAAAATGCTTTTGAGCTAGTCGAAGGTCGAATGCTCTCTCTCCCCACAAAAGAAACGTCCTTGTGTAGAAGTTTGGTTAACGGGCTGGTTACCCCGACCATTTTCGTTACAAACCGGCGGACATGATTCACAAAACCCGAGACACACCAAGAACTCCATTCTAGGTGGCACACTAGCTGGATCAACCAGCTCAAAGGACTCATTCACCTTGTGGGACCCAAGCTCCTCACACATGGACTCGACCCACTTAGGACGGGACGAGACCTCCTTAACCGACTTAGGCTCATGCACCTGACCATAAGATAGGAATCAAGCCCAAGCTCGAGCGTTAAGCACGTCGGCCTTCCGCTGTAAAGGAAACAATGTGATGTAGTAAGAGTAGTCGTGCATAACGACTAGGAGGTAACGCTCTTGAAGTGGCCTAGACTCAGAGCTTCAAATGTCAAAATGCTTTTGAGCTAGTCGAAGGTCGAATGCTCTCTCTCCCCACAAAAGAAACGTCCTTGTGTAGAAGTTTGGTTAACGGGCTGGTTACCCCGACCATTTTCGTTACAAACCAGCGGACATGATTCACAAAACCCGAGACACACCAAGAACTCCATTCTAGGTGGCACACTAGCTGGATCAACCAGCTCAAAGGACTCATTCACCTTGTGGGACCCAAGCTCCTCACACATGGACTCGACCCACTTAGGACGGGACGAGACCTCCTTAACCGACTTAGGCTCATGCACCTGACCATAAGATAGGAATCAAGCCCAAGCTCGAGCGTTAAGCACGTCGGCCTTCCGCTGTAAAGGAAACAATGTGATGTAGTAAGAGTAGTCGTGCATAACGACTAGGAGGTAACGCTCTTGACGTGGCCTAGACTCAGAGCTTCAAATGTCAATGTGCAGAGTCTGAAGGGGAATAATGGTACGGGGAAACGAGGAGTGAGGGGCGGCATGCTGCCGACCCTCAACGCAGGGAATGCACAGCGGCGCAAGCGACGGGGGAGCGGGGCGACGGACGTAGGGAGACCTGAGACGACACTGTGGTGTCCCATCCAACGGAGACGCTAGGAGGGGTGACCTAGGCAGTGGTGCCAAAGGAGGGACGGGTGGGTGAGCGACCGACAGGAGCACAACGCAACTACCTGATCCGACCCAGCCAACTGAGGAGACTCAATGCGGAGAGAGTAAATACCTGAGCCTTGCTCCCTGAGAAACGTGGCCAGAAGTGCTCTAGTAGCACCGAGGAAAGTAGGTGCCAACACCGAGTTCCTGATGATGGCTGACACTCACCAATTTCCTAGAGAATAAGGGGAGGTGCAGACCTGAGAGCGAATTCGCGGGGACTGCCGGGCACGGGATTGTAGTAGCGCTGCGTGCGACAACCGGTCCTGAGGAGGGATCGGCCAAGGCGATGGGGACTGGAGCCCGATGCGGAGCGAGAGTGGTGCGGTTGCGGAAGAAGCACTGAGACGTGCCGGAGTCAGGCGTGAAGGAGAATGACGCGTCAGGGATCATCATACCTGGGCTAGAGACTCCAGAAGATCCTACACTAGAAACAGCTACGGATCCTAGCCTACGAAAACACAAAGGAGAAGATGTAGCGGTGCTAGATTCATCAAGATACAAGACACTAGCAGAATACCAAGCAGCATGCAAATCAGACATATCCATAGGAAACACCTGGTCGCCCTGGCGAAACAGTGAAGCCCAGTGTGGAGCTGATGCACCGAAGCCGGAACACTGGTAGTAGAGGTCGGTGAGGCGGCCAAAGCAACAGTTGTTGTGCCAAAGCACTATAGTGGCACGGTCATCGCACTCCCATTCCGCCTACAAGCCTGCTCATCTTCTGGATTAATTTGGGGAGGTGCTTCAACATGTGTTCTTCACACCCTCAAAGTTTCAGAATTTTTGAAGCAGTTTACAAGGCATGGCAACAATTTTAGTTTCAAGACTTCTGACATCCTGGAAGTGTGTGTTACTCTTTTTTGGTAACACCCGAGTTCACCATTTCGGCTGCTGACTCATCTACCAAGCTCTGATTGGTCTGAAAATCGATGTGGCAGTCCTTTGCCGTGTTTTGCAGGTGGTCACCGAGTTTCAAGACAACCCAGCATTGGAGCAGCACGTGACAGCTGTCGAAAGTTACTGTTCCGTAGTCATGGTGCATTGTTGGCAGCATTTCCCTTGCCACCCTTGCATTGTTGTCATGCCAATGGTGCAGGGACAGAGAATGAGACAAGAAGTACAGGTGGTCAAGTGGGACTCTACCACCCTCCTTTTGAGAAGTGTGGTCTTCCTGGAAGCAGCTTGCAAGAGGGTGCAAGTGGGAAGACAAGCTGACTCATGGTTGGCTTGACTCACTATTGGTAGCCTTGAGTACAGCTCTGAACATCCAAGTGTGGTTGGCTTTGCTGACCTAGCTAGGACGTTTCCCATCCTTCTCTAGCCTTTCTCCCCTAGGACTCAACCTTCTCTGAGTTCCCAGGATGGTCCCAACCCCTTAAGAGTCCCCTAGGCAATGTTGTACTTACCTCTTCCTTGCATCAATGAAACTACACGTTTTCAGCCGAGCTTACATTTTTGTTCACTGCGTAGCGCATACACCTCTGATGAAAGCAAGCAATATACCGTTGGAAAGCAGATACCTGAAGCTAACGTCTCTTTAAGTTTCAGCCTCGTATAATATTGGAGCTGATCGTGACGGCGTTTTGAACAGAGGCGGTTCGAAGTCATCAGATTCTGCTTAGGCGGTTTCATGGGCATCCGCGACCCCTAAGTGGACTCTAGACTATAACAACAGTCAGAAGAGTGAGCATCTCCGCATGCCTCACCGAGTCGTGAACCAAACAGCAGCAAGTACAGAGAGGGTTGGGCAGGACCCCACTGCTACTGAGGGACTCCATGGTGGGTCTGTTGTGGGAGCTGCTGCTGAACCTGCCACTGCTGCTGCGGTTGAACTTGCCTCTGTTGTTGCTGCTGCTACTGCTACTGCTGCAACATAGTGGGGAACCTCATGAGGAAACGGCAACAGGAGGAGTCACATACGCCAGTACGAGCAGCAGTGGGGGTAGCAATGGGCGATAGTACGAGCGGCAGTATGGGCAGTGCTTCAGATGACAGTAAGGGCGGCAGTGGGTGGTAGTACGAGTGGTAGTGCACTACGGACGGCAGTACGGACTAGAATACGGGCAGTAGTACAGATAGCTGTACGGGAAATAGTATGGATGGCAGGACGAGCGGTAGTACAAGCTGCAGTACGAGCAGTAGTACGGACAGTACTATAGGCTGTAGCAGGCACAGGTGGCAGTATAGGATTGGACGGCAGTGTGTGCAGCAACGGGCGGCTATGGGTGGCAGAATGGGCGGCTATGGACACCAAGGGCCCAGGCAAAGAACGCATCGGTGAAGATATTTGCAGTATTGGCCTTACAGACCACACGTCTCACGAGTGCCTGTCCACGCTGCTGCAACTCGCGCAGAAGGAAGTAATGAAGCTGGATGTGC